GTTAGCATTTTTATATTCCAATAATTCGACACTTGAAAAAGCTTTTTCGTTTTCAGTCTGATTTCATGAAATAACAACATATTATCTCCTCAATAACACTTTGTCAATTTACATTTCTATTTTTGTGTGTACCTGAAAAAACCCTTGCAGCCCTCACAGGTCATTGCATTGAAGTGGAAGCCTGTGGCTTTGTCACCACACACGCCGCAGATCCGCGGCATGTTCCTGTCGAACTCATCAGGGGGCTGAGAGGATGTACTCACAACCGTGGCCTCCATCACTGAGCAGAAACAAGAGGACCGTGGAAGAAAGGAGAGTGAGTGAGAGAGAAGGACGGACAAAACAAAGACACTTGGTTATTGAAAAAAGGAACATTTAAATTTGTAAAACATTTCTTCTTGAAGTGTAAAATCTATTAAGCAGTGGACTTCACAAGACAAGAAAAGACTCCCATTTTGATAAATTACCAGTACAAAACGACACGAGAGACCATGATCTTGCAGCTGTTTGTAAGCTCTCTTTTCCACAAAATTAGTCTGCCCTGAAGCATGGACATTGATTATATACAGTGGTGCTCTCAATTGCCTCGGAAGAATAGGAACGGGGTAAAAAAAATAAAGCATGTCACCACAAGGCTGACATCCTCAAAAACAAAAAACAATCACTGTCCTCTGCACAAAGCTCCTTTCTTGTTCCTTTCTTTGTGTCCAGTGTGGAGACAAAGCAAATGATGGAAGGCATAAGAAGGGCAGGCAGGGACAATCAAACTGATCAACACATCGGCAATCGTACAAATCAACAGCAAGTGCACAGGGGCTCAGCTCCACAATTACAAACTATTTGACAGACCCATGAATTAGTTCTGTATCACAAATTAAATGCTGTCCTATCCAAAGCTGAGCTTAGAATAACATACCATGACAAATGGTGTTGTTGTGCAGTCATATTAACATAAGACTATCATTCTAATTTAATTCAAAGGTAAATAATAATAATAGTGAACAATCTAGTCACAGCCTCAGGCAGCACTGACAACAACAGCTCAAGCATCAACATATGGGTCTGTTGCATATTTTATACTTTATTTATACACAATATATATATATATATACACATATATTAGTCTAATATATTTGGCAATTAAAATAATTATTATAATGGTAATTTTCTGAATTTAATAAATTAATTAAATTACTATTAATTAATTTAATTAAAACCTTGACTGTCATTTATGGTTAAAAAAACCTTCACTTTGGTGATTTAGCAGGTTTTTTTTTAGTCTATTTTAACTTTTTGAGGTTTTCTGAACTTTTTATACACATACCTTGATTCCTTTAATTCCGTGGTTTTACGTGGTTAAATAGTAAATACTCAGCACACCTAGGCTTCAAAATGTAATCAAACACAGTGGTGAACATAATTCTAATTCATCTAAAGTGTCCTTTATAACTGCAAACAGGTGGTCTGATCCTTAATCCCAACAGGCCTTCACACTCAACACTTCCCAAGGTCCAATGGGAAAAGACTCATTGAGGCCATTATCTCAATCAAATGATCAATGACGTCAGTCCGTTGTGACTGTGTTCAGCCTTGACGGGTCATTGCACTAAATGCACAGTAAAACTGAGAGAGCTCTAAATAATGCATCAGGTTATTAGAGCAGATGTGTACTCACTGTCGACTCAGAGCCAGAGGTGGTTAGAGTTTTAGACTTTTACCCAATCCAGTTATTACATATTTTTGAAAGATCTGGGTTAGATGTATATATAATTTTCTTAATGTTTTTTCCATATTGTTAATTCCATCGGTTGGATTAGTCAAATACAAATGTGTGAAATGCATAAATTCACCTGCTATTATTTGTGTTTCTCTTTCAGCAATAAACAGGGTAAAAGGTTTTTGTCATATGAAGGAATAATATTTTTTCTTGATTAATCATGATTTATCAAAATAAATTCATTCACAATTCATTATGTTCAATCCACAACTCCCATATGATTAATCTGATTAAAATTTTTAATCGACCGACAGCCCTAGGCCTTTTAACATGAATGTAGTGTTTAGTGGATCATTGTATGGACCAAAGGAACAGAAGGCTGTGTGAAAGATAGAAAAATAATTCTGTTTCAAACTTGTTATCATGGTCACTAAAACCAGAACATAGACCAGAAAATACACACTACCACTGTGCACTGTTTAGAAAAAGTTGTAACGTTCTGCAAGAAGATCAGAAAATGACAGAGGCCTCTCTGTTTACCATGACACAACCGCTGTTGGTCTGTATTTTAAAAAAAAAGACACCATAAAAGGAGGGAAAAGATATTACATGGATGGCCCTTCTAGGCATCTGAAAGAAAGCCTTGTGTGTTCCATGTAAAGCTCAGAGCTTCAGAAGATCAGGCTGTCTATCTTAGCCACATGAGTTGTACCAGTGGCGACAAGCTAACACCAGATATAGGACACAAAACCACATCATCACAAATGTAACAGGGTTTTATACTAACCAGTTTGAAAAATCTAATGACTTCACTTTCAAAAGACCTCTGAAAATGTGCATTTGTATATAAATAAAAACGTATTATGTTCATGTTTGAAATGCATGTTTGAAGTGGTTGTACAACATCCACTATTGTATTATAAAAAAAACTATTTGTCATTAATGCAAGTTATTGTCATCTTCACTAAAGTGATATACATTGCGCGGAGTCTAATAACAAACAGCCAAGTGTTATCTGCTCGCCACTTGACTACTGTGAAGGTTATTCGGTAAACATGTTTTCAATTCTCTCAACAAAGAGTTCAGATGTTCAATGCTCACTTTGAAGGGCCATGTGCTGTTTACGGTCAGAGGGAGGAAATGCAAGCAAACAGTAAATGGAGTGTGTGTAGGAGGTGAGAGAGAAGATGGCAAGTTTACAATATGACAAACAATATGACAGACCAAGTATGGAAAAAGGACAGCACAACAGTCAGTTATTGTTTTTAAAAGCAGCTAAAAATACAGAGTCATAAGATGCTATAATTTCTGGCTTAATAGAGATGAATGTTTGATCTGTGACAGTGTTTTATCTTCACCAGTGTCAGAAGTGGGAGTGGAGTTTTAATGTTGAAGTCCCACATTTAAAGTAGGATACAGCTGGCTCTATTTCAGTCCTCTGTGTCGTCAAGTTTTGGGGACAGATTTAAAAAAAAAAACATATTCTAATTATAGAAGAAAAAACAAGCAAAAAGCAGAGACAGAATGTATTGCTTTAGAATGGTGGATATGGAGTGTATCCATGTAAATGCTCCATCTGTTTTTAATCATCAATGTATTGTTTACAAAACCCTATGAAAACTCAAGTGGCCAAACTATTTGCTGCATCACACAACAGAGAAGGCAATAAAAAGAAACGGTTTAAAACTGAAAACTGGTCATTTGTTTTCAAGTGATGAACTCTGGAAATATAAGATCATCATTTCTGTTGTGACACTTGTGCAAAAAGAAAAATCTGTTAACACAAAAAAGGAACGTCAGGAAGAATGATGTTTGTAAGGATGAGGTCTGTTGTAATTAAGAGCATCGCCACAAACTGTCTGCAGCTCGTCATTTTAAACCAGTTGGTGAAAGCTGCAAAATAAAGACGTTAACCAAATCTTGGTCATGTAGCTGGAAGGGCGGCCTGGGAGTTTCCCATTCTTTTACCTCAATAAACTGAGGAAGCTGTGGCAGAGAGAGAGCGCTATTCAGCACGCCGTGGAGCCGTGACTCATCTCCTCCAGTTTGATTTATTCATATTATGGGCTGAAATGACACATATGTGTTCTATAATTCCCTGGACTAATGCTATATCCACTCCTGCTTTGAATTCATAGACAAACGTAGGTTTTCATTTTATAAATATAAATAGATATAAATAGTTTGTTGGTGTTGACAGTCAGTTAAATACTGAATAAATGACAGTGACCATCTGAGAGTACTGAGGGCTTGAGTAATAAATACTGGATTTTAAATGTAATCATTAAAACTTGAATTGATTTAATAATGAAAACAATCATTTTATAATAAAGTAATAACCATGATTGTTGGCTGCATAACTGTAAATGAATCAAAGTGTGAGGTACCCAGAGATTCTCATCCAGAGTTAATGCCTATGTGAGCAACAGTCAGACACGGTGCTCAACTCATAATGCACATGGCCCAAAGTATGTCATAGTTCATGGATCTTTGTATGTTTCTCCACTTACTACAAGTAACGTGAGTTATTATGGGTTTCTGTGCCAAGCTGGATCCTGGCAGAAGTCCAATACCACTCATAATACGGCTTATTTCCTCTGTTCTGCTTGACTTTTCATTTTCAAGCTGGACTTAAGTATGTCATTATCAAACAGGAAAGTGGCTATAGGATTCCCTGTCAGGTGACTTGGTGCTAATAAAGGAGTCAGAAACTCAAATGTGAAAAAGTATTTGGAATGCAGCCCAGTTGTGGGATTAATTTCATCAAATTAAATTTCAAGTCATTAAAAAGACAAATACACTTTACAAATCCAATTAGGTGGGGTCTTTAGTGATTGGACAATGAAATAATATAGGCGTGAGAACAAGGTCAGATATAAAAGGTTGGGTGCAAAGGAGTATCTGGACCAAACCTTCAAAAACATATCATTTTAACCACACAAAGACATGCACAGGAGAGGGGGGAATGAAAGAAGTAAAAAAAAAAAAAAACTCTGGCATGATGTCCCAAGAATGTCAGCAATGGGCTTACAGACCACATCCCAACACATAAGAGTCAGAGTCGGAATCACATCCAGACCCATAACAGCACTGGAGAAAGAGGGATTGCTGTGGAACGCCTGAGTGAGAAAAGGAGGGCCTCCCTGACAGTCCAATGAGTAACCCCCATCGATATCACATGACGCAATCCCACAAATGGTTCTGAAATTGTTCCATGCTGCCAAAGGTTTTTCTTAAAGAGTAAAAGAAAGAAGGGAAACGAGGGTGGTGTAAAGGAGGCAAGAGTGAGGTAGAAAAGACAGGGAGACACATTTGGTAAGTTGGAGGGAAGAAAGAGAAAACATGAGTCTATGTGTTTTACTGCATACCAGGGACTGGGTCATTTCCAGTACAGAAGGGACGTAAAACAAATCAAAAATGGAATGGCCTGGCTTGCAAAGGGAACTAGGTTAAAACAGAAACAAGTAGAAGGACATCTGGGACTAAAATAGTAACAGAGGGGATGAAGGAGAGGACCTTTTGAAGGCTGTGTGAGGAACCGTAAAGAAAATATGAGAAGATTGGTAACTACAGATAAGATAGTCCAACTTACTTGTTGGTCTAACTCAAATAGGCTTAGAGTTGAAAGACAAGTATGGAACAAACAGACGAAAGACAAAAATGGACAAAAATAGACTGATGACCTAACACAAACCAAGACTGCAATGCATATAACAGACTGAGCAGACTAGTCCTGTCCTGTCACTTTGTTTCCTTCTCTCTCTTGCTGCCCCCTCCTGCAGCCTCCACGTCTCTATCGCATTCCCTCTTCCAGTGATCACCAGGAGCACATTACAGCAGCAGTAATAGCACATGACATGATGACCTGTGCCCTACACAGGATGGACTAAAGAGGGATACAAGGGGTGGGGGTCCCAAGTCATGTGTCCGAACCCATGGTCCCTTTCCCGTACTATTCTAACAGCCCTCCTCCCCCCATATGGCCCCATCCAGGCCCCCAGGTCCAACCTGCAAGGGGAGAGAGAGACGCTGTGACGACAACCTGCACCCTTATGCTGGGCCCCTTGCTGGACTCAGGAGAGGGAAAAGAGGAGGCAGGGAGAGGCCCACTCAAACACACACACACACACACACACCAAAAGCACAGTTAATATTTGTGCTTTTGACAGAAAAACTGCATTTTCAACCTCTCCAACTTGGTCAGACAGTAAGCCAAGTGGGCAAACATTGATAGATAATCTGAATGCTGATAAGATAAATGAGAAGCATTAAGAACAAACGTTATGAAATATTGACTTTTAACCTTAACATGTTGCAAAGCAGCAGAACATACACTTGAAATAATGCACTTCATTCATCAATTGATGTTCATTTGAACACAAAAATAAGGTCCCATGTCTAGTGTCCTATATATCCAGCTGTGACATGCATCGCTTTCCAAGAAGATTTTTTTTTTGCTGCATTACTTGTGCTCTACAAACAAACACTGCCCGTGTGATACATTTGGGCTCAGACCCATCGACCACAGGAAGGTTACCAGGAATCCCAAAAACATTAACAAGAACTTAACACTTCATTAGTCTTAAAGGCAGCACAACATATGCGGCAAACAGCACGCATGCACATACGCACATACAAGTAGGTCTTTAGAGTACAAGTAGAAGTACAGCAGCCTCTTTCTCTCTATAGGGTTACATGTGAGGGGAAGCAACCAATTACTGCAGTCACGAAAGGGGGTGGGGGGCAGGGTACTTTACTGTATAGGAGATATAATGGTGTGTACCATCACTACAGCACACAGCTCCATGAACAACCTCCTACAGTTTCTGTCAATAGATGCACGGGGTGCAAATCAGTCGCTTCGGCTGCAAAATTCAGATCGAGTCTGTCAATACATTAACATAGACCTGATTCAAAACACACATGGTCCTCATCTGAACAAAATTTTCAAAGCAGTCTGAAACAACAAGGCCATGAAAAAAAAAAAGAATATTGTCATATGTATTAGGTTTCTGCAGTTTAATAATTATAAACTCAAGAGAGCTCGAGGCCACTTAAATCTCCACCATGAGAACAGGTTGTAACGGATGCCATATCAGCCACTCACTTGTTCCTCTGTGATGATAGAGTGGATGTTCAAGTTTGTAAAAATAATTGTACTGGAAGACAAATAAACAAATGTTCAGGTGGCAAAACAGATACTCCCTCTCCAAGGTAACTGTAGGACACAGACACGGGCATGCCACCTGTAATTGTAAGTTACCTGACTACTTATGCTACACTGTGACAATTAAGGTTTTAACATAGTTTTTGATAGTGATATGACTTGTGGAAAGATTCAGTATCACGGCCTGACTCCTGACATTACACTTACCACAGTCTCAAACAAAATATAATATTATGGTAATTTTATGTGTAATTTATGTAAAGCACAAGTTGATGTTACTGTGCATGTAACCAATGTCATGAGAGAGCACCAATATTTAAGAATATGTACCAAAATTTGTTACATTATGTACAATAGAGGGTTTTATTTTGACAAAGCAATATGATTTTTATTGTACAGTTCCTTGGTGTTCTTAAGTGGATTTTCTAATGTAATAATTTCTGTGTGAGGGTAAAGTCTATACACTTCATTATTGCCCAGTGATAAATGTTTTAACACAAAGGCTGCGAGGCAAAATGTCCCGTCTGTAAAATGTACTTTCGCAAAAACTGAAAGAAAATCATTTTCTTGTACCATGCCATTTCCAAAGCGTAAACAATACACAAAACACAGGTTTTGACAGTTTGACTGCATTTCGTGTTGGCATAAGTGTCCAGGTGTGAATGTTTCTCCTCACTGCTAATTAGAGGTTATGTGTTTAGGCAATTGAGGTTTATTACACTATGAGGGAAACAAATTACTTACTATTTTAAATTTCAAATTAGACTGATAAATACCTTAGAACATATAAACTAAATGTGATCATATTGTAATCATATCAGACACATATATATATATATTTACATCAAAATATAATCTTTATTGTACAATTTTAGGACATTGAATGCATTCATGTATTGCATGAGACGGTGTAAACCGCAAATCAAAAGTGAAAGCTCTCACCTGGAGTATTTGCATGCCCGTGTACAGTAGGTAATACTTGAAGCCTTCTTCGGTTTACCCCAAGATGTTAATCCTGTTCAACAAAAAAGGCAAAATGGCATTTCGCAAGTCAGTGAGTGGGCCTTAACCCCAGAAAGCCTGACCTGTTTATGTAACTGTGAACTATTTCAAACAGCTACATACGTACACACACACACGCGCGCGCGCGCACACACACACACAGTCGTGATGCCTGGAGGAGTTAGAGAAGTCTGTAGGTAAAAACGTCGACATGACCACACACACAATGTGTCACTTTGCTGAACCAGAAATAGTATTTTTTTATTAGTATTTACGGCACTTGAGCAACAGGAATCACAAACATTCACGTCTCGATAGAACAGCATTTCAGTTGTATATATTTGCGTCTGTGTATGTGTGTTTTCCAGCGACTTTCGTACCTCGGCTCAACTTTTCCCTGTAAACACCGAGCTGCCTTGTTGATAATCCTCCGTTAAGTCGTCGGGTTTGTCGGTTCTCCTTTTCATTTCCTCACGGAGTGCCCCCCCTCATGTCGACTGGCCAAGCATTGAGGGGCTCGTCTTTGTTGGAAGAGATGAAACGCCGTGTACCTCAGGGAATGTGACGAGTTGTATGTACGCCCTTTTTCTCCAAAGACAGCGGCAGCAGCAGCAGCGACGTTGGTTGTAGTAGCTAACGTTAGCGTGGCTGCCTGGCTGCTTTTACCCTAAAACGCGGCCCCAAGTTCAGACAGCTACTGCAGCCGCCCTGCAGTCCGCAGAGTGTGGACAGTAAGCGGAGGAAAAACGCATATTACAACTTAGCCGTCAAACGGATATTACGCTAATAACATGTGAGACACACCTACGGTTGTACGACAGTAAAAAAATACCTCCTTTCACAGAACCTAAACAGATAGCCATTACTTTTCATTGTTATGCACCGCCCCCTTTCTGAGGTCCTCTTCACAGGAAAGAGGGGTTTCCCCCCCTTCAACATGGCAGCCAACCAATCATAGATGGGCTTGTCGTGCCCCCTGGACCGTGATTGGTGAAAATTCCCACCGGCCAGGCTTGGATTGGTTAGCACCCGTGCTTGTAAACATGTAGCTCGTCCTCCATAAAACAGGGGTGTGTCGTGACGTCAGAGGTAACGACGAGGTAAACAACTTTGACCGCGTGAGCTGTTAAAGCAGAAGCGTATGTTCGAGGTTGTAGCCTCTGTTTACTGAGAATCGGAGAGAGAAACAGAATGGAGAGATTAAAAAAAATCCCAGAACAAAACACAAGACGGTACATGTCGTTCGATATCTGTGCCCCCAGGGTCTCGTTGTTTCTCTTTGTTCCACAGCCACATGCACCAAAGGCGGTGTAATAAATATAAATAAACTAGATCAACACATCGACCGACAGTGAGAATGGTACAAGGAGTGGTGCTGTACACAAGATTGCTCATTCAATTGCATTTGTCCCCATTGTTTCTTTGATTCTTTGCGGCAGTGTGCAGCGAGGCGGGTGCATGTGGAGGGGTGTGTCTGCTCTGCAGTACACTGGTAGGCTGGGAGGCGATGCCGCTGCATGGCGATGTCGCCATACATTTGCAATGCATGAGAAATAGCAACACTGTGAGCTAAAAATAGGCGATTGAACAGATGTATTCTTCACTACATTGCTTATATTGTGCTAAATTCCCCAAGATAAAAAAAAAACTCTCACTTGTTTCTTAAGAATAATTTCACACTTACATGCACTTAGCAACTCTCGTGTGCCTGTGGTGGATACGGTGGTGTGAGTGGTATTAGGGGCCAGCGCCAAGGGGTAGGTGAAGGTCAGGGGTGTGTCTATAATGTAAACACAGTAATGGCAACAGATTCCAAGGGGAGAAGGGGAAGAGAGAGGAGGGCCCCATCCGGTCCAGTGTATCCTCTTTCAAATGATGGTTCTTCAGTATTACTGCAGACTGAAAACAAGAGGCTGAACTGCACTGTTTACAGGTGGAATAAACACATTATTATGGTTCGTAAATTACATGTGCTGTTACTGCATCATTGTTCTTACACACATAAGAGGAATGAACAAGAAGATATGACATAAAAAAGAATCCACAAATCGCCCATCATAAGACATTGTATATCGTAACAAGGTTCTATTTATAACAAAGATGCAATATTACCAATAGATCTTATCTCTGTTTTATAATCACACGATAAAAATACATAAAAACAAAGTTCACTGAGATCACCACTCTCGCAACATAAATAATTGTACTACAGAGCAGCATGGTCCCCTTTTCCATCTAATGTCGAACACAGAGAATTTGCATCGTCACAATATATTCATTCCCTGCATCGATCTATGGCAGCCAGCGCAGCAGCATTTCTCAGTGTCCACTCCCAGTGCTGCTGTGCTTCCAAAACAACACGCATTTTAGTATATTCCAGCACATTCTACACCAGACAGATATAAAGTAAGGATTGAAGGTAACCCAACCAGTTAGTCACAACATAAGATTCAGCAAACAATTAGTGCAATTTGTCGATTGGCAGCTAATGACATGTTTGTGTTATACAGTATGTGGGTTCTGTCTTAACCTCAGAATTAGCATGTGCTGATCCCTTAAGAACCTTTAAACACATGACATAATCGTATTACCAGTTGATTCATGTACAGTAACCTGTAGTGGAGTGAGGGGCACACTCACAGAGAGTTGATCCTTGTCCTGTGGCTTGGGTGGTCTCCAGGTTTGGCACTTGCACAGGATCAAGCTGTTCTGCTAACAGGAACTTATTCAGCTCCACATCACCCACATCAGATATCTATGTATCCTGGCAGGGCCATTTTGTGTCCTCAAATGCTCTGGTCCTTGACTGTTGACCCACAATTGAGTATTTGCAGCAACAGTATAGAAATATAAATAACTTCAATTGCAGATCTTATACTGAACATGCTGAAGTGATGTGCGGTAGCAGTTAAATTACTCTTATTAATGTGTTTGGTTTCTTTTTATTATAATGATGGAATAAATAGAGCAATAATTTGTAGTGAATAAAAAAAGACTAGACCATGCATTACAAATTTACTAATTCAACAGTAATATATAATGGGATTGACTTTGATTGAGAAGAAATAAAGACTACAAGTGTGTCACATACATAAGAATGCATTGAGTCCAACAATGAAATCAGTAACAATTAATTCTAATTGTTTCCCGTTGAAGAGTACACAGTGGTTTTTTGGTACTGGTTTGTGGCAATACGAAAATTTAGAATTAAATTAAACTAAGAACAGAGTATTGTTACTATACTAAAGATAAATGTATTCCAATGGCATCACAGTCACTGCTGTCACAGCACATAGAGGTCACACTCTGGAATGTGAGTGGTTAAGGTGAACTCTCTGTCAAAACTATCAGTATCTTTTAACTTAGGGCATGTCTGCAGTTTTAATTCCTTTTGGGTCGGCAGTTGAGGGTCATGATAACACAGGAGCCCAGCGTGGTTCCACAGATCCTTAGCAACATTCACATGTGCTGAACAGACAGGATTCATAGCAGCTGCATCACCGTGTGGTGTCCAAGCTGCAGCAGCTCGGACTGGAAAGCAGTACAGCAGGTGATCTAAACAGTGTAGTTCCATCCCAGAACCCCCTGTGGGGCACTGAGGATCATCACCACCTTAAAGTAAACAGGTGTATATTGTATACTTTTTAGATCTGCTTTGATTTATATTGTAATTCTTTTAAGGAAGCATAAAACAACTTACTACTCAACAAATGGTATCCTCTGTATATTTTCTCCAAATAAACAAATCCATCTGCCCTATACTGGTGCTGTAATTGGAGAGCATTGTTAGAATACCTTTGTCTTTTCTAAATATTTACTTAAAGGACTAAAGATTTTTTTCTTTTCTTTTGTTACAATCCCTCAGGACATAATCCAAGAGCAGAAATCCTTAACCTTACAATCACACTGAGCTGCTTTCTGTGGTTGCTGCTTCCAGGGAAGTGCAACGTGTGGACTTGCATGTGGCGTAGTTCATTAGAATTTCTCTACTACCCCCGTCTGGTTAAACGAGGGTACAACAAATCCAACCTTACCTAAAGTAATTGTACTAAATGCAATTGTAACTTAAAAAAACTTCGTGCCTGTCACGACATAGATTTAATTAAATAAAGTCAGTTACGCGTATTTATATGTAAAGTTGAGGACATGGCTTTTTAGTCTACGGTTTTTAAAAATGTTTTTACAAACACCAAGCGTGACGTCGCGGGAACAAAGAGAGTTACACTGCGGATATTTCAAATAAAAGTAGTAAATCGAGAGGCGAAACGCTTATTTAGAAAAAGCCGAATTAAATACACAATTTCCCCGAACGGATCATTTGTAAACGAAACGCTTTTCGTAGTCCCAAGGCACAAAATGTTGAAACATCGTAATGTGCTAGCACAGATGGTTAGCTTCATAAACGAACATTATATGGAGTGAAAGGTTTATTTAAGAGAATAATGTGCTACAAATGTCGATTAATTGAAAGTCGTTGAGCAGTTCTGGAGTGTTCAATACTATATATAAAATTCTTCAGAGGAAGCGGGGCAAATACACCGTATAAAGTACACACAATCAGGCCTCCGTTCTCGACGGTCCCATGGTGTAATGGTTAGCACTCTGGACTTTGAATCCAGCGATCCGAGTTCAAATCTCGGTGGGACCTCATCCTTTTACCCGTTGTATAGGGGTTATACTAATTATCTTAGACACATTACACCTAAAAAATGTGCGATTTACTTGAACTAACGTTAAATAGAAGCGGGAGATTATTACAACAAAGAGACATATAGCAGTTTTACCTGATTTTATTGCCTTTTTGTGTCAAACTTGACAAATCTGGTGTATTCTCTCATAAACAGTCCACAGCTTAAAATATATTACTTTTTGTACATAAAAACCCAATGTGAAAAAAATACAATTATTCAAATGTTATCTAAATACTGTCTTGGCTTTATAAAAACACACAAATAGAATAATAGAACATCGTTGCAATTATTTGAGTAATTTCATGCTGTTATTACTTTCAGACAGTTAACTCAAATAGATTTAAAAAAAAGTCTAAAATCAGGTCCTGTTCTAACCTTGAAACAGTTCACTGTTTAAGGTCTATCTTTCTTTAGCTGCTTCTTTGTCCTTAAATTGGATTAATGTTGAATCATCTTACTCTTCTTAACCAATACAGTTTAGCGTTACACTACCTCAGTACTCCAATGAAAGTACAAAAATACTTTTGGTAGTAGTTTCAGTTATGGCCTTTGTGGCTCTTCAGTCTATTACTACATCTGTAGTCCCTTCAATAAAAAATACTTATCGTCATCATCTACGTATTCAAAATACACAACCCCTTTTGCCTTAAACACTTGCTTGACCCAACACCCCACGTATTCACTTATAAAATACCTCATTCCAATTCTTTTCCAAACAAAGACTTTCTGGAACACTGTCACCCAAGCCTGACATGTGACGTAGACACAGAGATATTTCCTGTCCATTCGTTCCCCTGATTGTGATATTACTGGCCATTTTGATCATATTATTATTTTTTCTGACATGCTTAATAAAAAAGACACTTTAAAATGTGTAATTAGTAGACTGTCATGTTTACAGATTCAGTATAAAAGAAACAATGACTTCTATTGTTTAAACTGTGCATTCCAAAGTGGGCCTCATCAAAACTACTGTATGGTGTCCTTATCTTAGACTTCACAAAAAAACAAAACAAAAACAAAAAACAAAACAAAACAAAACTTATTTTGTTATATGTGCTCAGAAAGTGATTTTTTTTTAAACACAAAACACCTACACTGACACTTTTGCCTTCTTCAGCTGCTGTAGAAATATCCTTAACAAGTTTTATAGTAAACATGAAAGCTTTTTATAAAGGCTCCAAAAACTCTTCAATGTTCATTTTGAAGTATCATACACTTGTAGAAATGATTTAAGGCATTTAGAGTAAAAACTTGCATTAAATCCTCCTAAGTGTTATAAACTGGACCTCCAAAATGTAACAATATCCCCAAATAAACTTTATAAATCTTTAGGCAATTGCTACCAATACTGGTCTTTGGCATCTCATATACATAAACAAGACCATACAAGTAAGAAAAAAAAGTCCAAAGACAAGTTGAAAACACAATCTTTGACAAAGCTATAGGTCAACATTTAGGTTCGAACAGATCTACTAGCAGTGTTTGTGTAGCACCGGGTAACAACCTGCATCATTTCAGGACTAAAATCGAGTTCCTTTCAATTGTTTTTCCAGTTTTGAGAAAAGAAAAAAAATCTGATGTTACTAAATCAAGAACCTCGGGCGTTGCTTCAAAAATTTTAACAGGTTTCCATTCAAGTTTGGATAGAAATTGAACGTTAGGTTCGTATTTTTAAACTTGTTCATTTCTGAGGGTTAATGAAAACTAATTAGATTTTAAAATCATGTTTTGATGTTTGATGTTCTACCGTCTCTCGTAGTTCTTTCAGACTTACACCACTACATTTTGAAGTCGATGTAACCAAGGCAATAAGTTCTTAGGTCCAAATAGTGATTATGAATGGTGAGTTTATGGGAGAACAAGCCTCCTCATTTGGTCTGTAACTTTATTACACAGTTTCCTGAGGACATTGCATGCTTTTATCTGCGTTTCTGGTCGTCGTCATTTAAAAATCGCAATGTCAGTTATATAAATTGTAATCTAATTGAGAATAATGTCCAACAAACTCCAGAACATATGAGTCAAAAACATGAACTGATTGTTCATTCTGTCCTATTAAAGCATGGTTGCAAGGGACATTTCTGACATTGACATTAACACAACTGACATGGCGCCGGTTAAACTGCAAGTCTGGGGATTATTTTACAACCGGGAGACTTTTAATACACGGTCTATGAACAGAAACAAAATCTCTTTTAGACACAGCCACACACATCAACACAGTGATGTAAAAAAAGAGAGTGCAAACAAAAACAGTTGTGCGTGCACACACATACATAATCACACATGACAAAAATAATCTCCCATTTTCTCTTCCAAAGGTTTCCAGTTCTCCAGTCAGTCTGATCTTATCTACGGAGCTGTGGTCCCAGCATGACTTTGTTGATGAAGTTGACGATGGCCACAGCCGGCTGCTCCGGGTCCATCTCTGCAAACAGGTGACAGACGTTTTCTGTAGCACTGCCTGTTCTCCGGGCCACAAAGCCAAACATTCTGTGGAGGAAGGACTTGAGAGTAAGTACTTTAAAATAGAATTGTCTGACAAATGATGTTTGACTTTGATAGAAAGCTTCGTCATTAAATGGCCATGCGATGCAGAAGTCACCATGAGTGACACGTCGAGGAAGGACGAACAAAAATTGACACAAGAACTTACTTGCATGATGCGCTATCAGAATTAGCCCACCTGAAGCACGGGTAGACAAACAGAGACAACATGGAGGAAGGCATGAGTAACAAGGACGTGAAGACTGTTTTACACAACTAGGCAACAATTAGCAACGCCACATTAGCATCAAGAGTAAAGAACAGCAGTAGAGATGCGACAAACAACTATTTTCAAAGCCAATTATAATAAATATGCACATTTGATAAAATCTCACTTAAAACAACAGGTTGTTGTCTCGTGAAGCTGTCCATCGGCCATTGATTAATCCACTAATTGTTGCAACTTGAAACAGCAGTCAAGTCAAAATTACAGAATCAAAGTCTTATATTCTTAGAATATAAGTGGAAAAAAGAGAGAAAGGTACAGTGTGCAGTAGCAGCAAGCAAACATTGAATAATACTCACATGACTAGTACTAGCACATGTTCAGGCACATGTACAGTTTAATTAGCTTCACCAAGGAGTTGCAGTTTTTCACCAAACATTTAATGTTATAAGATTTAAATTGCTTATTTAAATTTAAATATTTTAAAAATAAACACAATTACTTCAGTTTTTCAAACCTTGGGAAGCAAGTCTTCCAAAGATGACTGCATACATTATTTGTTATTTTATTGGAATAAATAATTACTTTTATTATATAATTATAAGAGAATTTGATCCCTGCTAACTCCTTGGTGAAGGTTTTGCTCTCCGACTTCCTCAAAATGAAACCTTTTTCCCCCACACGCACCTCTTGTCTTGAGGGTCAAGACTGCTAAATGTGACACTGCTGAGTGGATAGTGTCTCCTGAAAAACAACCTGCATACAGAGAGACAAAATTTGAATATACTTTAATTTTTCTTTTAGCAAATTGCAAAAAAAAAAAATCAAATTTAAACAAGTCAACCAGTGTGGAAACAGTTACAGGTACAGTGTCCAGTTCACACCTTCGTTTGTTGTCTGTTAGAGTGATGCCCTGAGAAGACACTTTGAAGTGGACCACTGTTGCCACCGGACGTGGATTTAGAGACAAAGTGCATTTGGTTGCTTTGGAAACAGCCTCAGGTCCCGTGAGAGATTCCGTTTCCACAGAGTTCAGGTAGAGCACGTTACAGGCTGGTTTATGAAAAACAAACGACGACGATATGTAAATTCGTTTATGGCTGAGTGAAAGGAGAGAACGTGTTGCATGAGGTTATAGCACTCCCTGTTGGTCACTAAGCAGAACTCCATACCATCACTTGCTTTAAACAAGGGTAAGTACAAAAAGTTCTAAGTCAAATTTAATTGGATAGAACTTAATTTAGAAAAATGCTATTTAGCTACATATCGTTCACTTAAGTCTAATAACCATAAGGTTTTCAACTTGGGGAGCATACTATACAGTATGTATTTAATTATCCAATTCAATTATTCACTTAATGTCCTTGTTTATATAATGATATTATCTAAAGTCTAAAATGTGCCCTATACAAATACATATTAATACTAAAGAAAACGATGCTCACTTTCATATGCAGCAAGGATAAAAAGGGATATGGATAAAGATAATCACTACGTACCTGCTCCTTGTTTGAGGAGATCAGCTGCAGTGCTGGTGCTTGTTGAACTCTGCACCTCTTGTAGCTCCCCAACTAGATCTGAAAGATTGAAGTCTTCAGTTACACTATAGCACCATCTCAATTATTAACAGTCCTAACCATGTTTTTAAAACATTTTTGTTTTTTTACAGCAATAGAAAAGGTGTATTTCCAGAGTTAGACTTTTGATTTAACGGTAAAACATCACCTTTTTCCGGGATCCGAAGAGCACAGGGTAGAGAGATGGGAGTGATTGAATGCTGGTACACCAGAGCAGACAAACTTCCTGTGGCAGCAGGAGATACAAATGAAATATATATATTGTCAAACAAGACAGACTTAAAGTCTTAAATAAGGGACTGGAGGAAAATGACAGTTGTGTCTACAATGTCACTGACCGAAGTAGGACTCGTTCTGACAGCCCTTGATCTTCACTCCCTGTGGACCAGTCTCAATGAGGAAGTGTCTCACTAGCTGTTCCAGAGGATCCACTAGGTAAAAAGAAGTGGAGGGGAGAAGAGATTATGGGAAGAAATGATGCAACTGCAATTATTGTATGTAAAGGTGATTTTTAAAGCACCAAAATCCCAGCAAAAAATGTCCATTTGCTATGGGACAAAATTAGATCAAACAGTTTAAATTTAAAATGTTGACAAATATCTTCTACAAAAATATATTCTGATATTTTAAATATGTAAATATGTATTTATATGATATTTTAAATATGTAAATATGTATTGAAAGTAAAAAAAAGGGGAATCAAATACCTTTAAGGCCACAGGCACTGGCACTGGGAGGAGGAGTGGCCACTTTAAGGGCCAGACCGTAGGCTCCCTGGAAAGAATTACTGTCTCTGATGAGGAAAGTTCCGGGTTCTTTGTCCTTTAGCACAGCTATAGCTGTTGGAACAAACACATCCAAGTATCATTGACTCAAGTATCAGTGACAGCTACTCACAATAATCAATACGATCCTTACCTTGGTCTCTGGAGATGCCAGGCTTGTACCAGTACTTGGAGCTATCCTGGACAAACTTGGAATTTACCCTAACATCTGCTTTGTCCTTGTAGTTTGCTTGTGCGGACCCTCGTCTCTGCGTCCCAATAGCCGTAGAGAAGGTAACGTGGGGTGTCGGGGAAGGAGCCGAGCTGACTCTCTGAAGAGTGTTATGTCCATTCAAGGACCCGGCTGAGGAGGAAAGGCGTTTTTTCTCTGGGAGAGGTGGCTGTATGGCAGGGATGGTGACGGCTGTGTAGCCCGTGTATGGCACGTGAGGCACATTCAGTAACTGGTAATAATAGGAGGCTAGGGGAAAGGTGGGTGTGTTATAACCATCTGGTACGGGTGATGGAGGCTTGTCAGCTGAGCTGTCTCTGTCTGGAGTTAGTCTGTGCCCTGCTGTGTCTGTGGATAATGAGGAGCACTGGGGAGGAGAGTGAGGCTCTGGAGAGCTAATTGGGGAATTCGGTGAAGTGGTTGCAGGGCTGGAAGTGAGACTGATGGTGGTGTTTAGGGTCACACTGCTGCTTGACTCTGGTGACGTATCGCAGGCTAGGGCTGAACCATTGAGCTGCATTTGGACAGGAGGGATGATGATGGGAACATAACTGGAAGAATGTGACTGTTGAGATCGCTCTGCACCCCCTGTGGTCCTGGCTGCACCGCTGGTTTTGTCAGGACTCAAACTCTGTTGATTTAGTGGCTGTGTGGTGGTGTTTGGTGGTGAGCTGAAGACCTGAGTCTGTATGTTTGTTGGTGCTAGAGTGCTTTGGTTGCTACTTGTTGTGGGCTCTGGTTGCACGGACGTTTCCTGGCTTTGAGGAGGGCTGTCAGCTGCAACGCTGTAGTGAAAATATGACAAAATATGAAAATGATCTACATATTTTCATAATTCAATGACTTTGTGACTAATCTGATGGAATTAATAACATGGAAAAAGGTGTGAAATTGAACCTGGTATTTTAAGCTCTAGCTGCTTCTGTGAAATAAAAACCCTTTCTTGGAGCGAGTGTGTAAATGATGAACTGTGTATTAGTTCAACCATCAACATGTGTTAAAAATCTGATTCATTTTACAATTAATCCTGTACTTCAAACAACTCTAGTTTAATTGTCAGGATTAGAAAATCTAAAATGACAACACCAACCTGTCTTCTGTGTGTGTGGGACTGCTGCCACCAATCAGTGTGTAATCATGATCGGAGTCCAGTCCTGGTGTGCTGGACGGGCCGTTGGAATCGGACTTATTCTCTGAACCCTGAGAGATGTTATCCTCCACAACTTCTTTTGCTTTTCTCACTTTGAAGAGTAAAACAAAATGACACAAAATGGAATTAGATTTGAATATTTGTGTCAATTTAAAACTCATCACTGGCGGTAAACTCTTCTTCTTATATGTGCATTTATAAAAGATGAATAATCCAAACTAATATAGATGAATTTTCAACATTCACCTTCATGATGCTGTTCACTGGACCTGGAGGGGGTCTCTGGCAGTTTGCCTCTCCCAGGAGATGGACTGCTGGCCAGCAGAGGTGATGCTGATTCAGACTGGTATCCTGAGGCATACCCTCGGCTCTCATGGCTCTCTGATGGGGAGGCCTGATAAGGGGCGCAGGGGCAGGAGTGTCGGGGTGGAGGAGTGTGGTACCCACTGCTGGCTCCGTCCCGTACATCCACTACAGACTGGGGAGTATGGTAGCTCTGGTGAGGTGCAATGGCAATTCTAGGTTGCTCCTGGTTTGGACTCTGACCCAGAGAGGGGTGGAAGCCCCGGAAAGAAGGCGCGGCAGATTTACACTGCCAGAAATCTGTCTCTCTCACTGTGTCCCATGGATTTTCACTCTCCCAGAGTGGAGGTGCCTCTCTTGTTTGTTGTACTCCTGCTCCTTGACACCATTGTGGGTTCTCTGTTTGGTCTGGGCGTAGTGCTTGGAATGTTCTGACTGAGTCCAAGTGGTGCTCTCTCCTGCTGCTGCACTCCCTACAAGGGCAACCAGGGGACTGTGTTGGAGAGCTGAAGAACATTTCCCTGTAGGGACTAGTGGGCAGTGATGGATGGGAGAGGTGAGAGGACGGACTGTGGTTGGTATAATGGAAGAATTGACACTCTTCCCCGCTGCAGAGTCTGTTGGACATTGGGAGGGAGAGACTGTGTGGGTGTGGATGTTCTGGGGCAGAATAAGGATAGTAAGGCCTGTGGAGACATGGCTGTGGCGGTGGTGGAGCTGGACGTTCCCATGGTAACTCTGGTAAAGGATGGGCACTGTGGCGATGGCAGAAGTCCATTTGAGCTGAATTCAGTGACGGAGACACAGATTTTGGTAGCAGAGCAGGCAGAGTCTGACTTTTTGGATTCTTTTTGCTGCTGTTACATTGTGCCAGACAGTGACCATTAGAGAGACAGGAACCTCGCTCCCTCTCCCAGCCCCCCTCACCGCACTTCGCACTTACTCGACCGCAACACGAGTGCTCTCGCCTTAAACCAGTTAGAGGGTTGACGTCGTCTAAGATGGCAGTCTCTCTGTCTTTTTCTTTTCCTTTTGCCTTCTCTCTTCTTCTTTCCTCCTCATCTGCATTCTTTGAATCTATCTCTGGACAGTTAGTGCTCCTGTGTAAATGATCCACAGGCAGCGAGGAGCGACTGGAATAACTGGAGTAGGTCGGAGTCACGGGCTGACTGTGAGTCTGGGGCTTCACTGTTGGGCTGCTAGTGAGGCATCCGTTAGGAGATGCAGCTGCGGCGGTGGAACCAGGACGTCTTTTCCTCACCTGGGCGTATAGACTGCCGTCCAGAGGGCCTCTCGTGTGAGCGATATCTAATGAGAAAAAAGATTTGATATGATGTTTAATAGTACAAGTGAATTAAAAACAGGGTGTTTCTCTGTTTGTGTTTTTCTCCTTACTCTCCATGCTGTCTTGATGATGCAGGTTAAAGTTCTCATAAGAATCCCATCTGATCACAGCGTCCGCGGTGTTGTAGTCCACTTTGATAGAGGGGTCGTTCTTGCGATATTCTCGACCTTGGAAGACAGAATGCACATGAAAGACTTTTAACAAATTGTTTTGGAGCTCAAAATGTCTCTAAAATTTCTGATTTTGCCTTTAAATCCAAATGATTACACACTATTAACTAATGCAAAAAATGGGATCTGTTTATTTTTTGTAGGAAGCTAGTATTGTCACATAAACCACTGTTAAAGTTGTACAGTGTATGACAGACACATGACAGAACTTACCTTTCATTTTTTCCGGACAGTTGGAGAAGACAAACTCCACAGTAGCATCTGGAGGAAATCTGTCATCTACAAAAAAAAAAAAGGAAAGAAGAAGGCAAACTAAAATTTCCACACTTCAACTAAAGTTCCAAGTCGAATAAATCAAATGTATCATTACTTCTGATCTGTAAAAGTGACTGTTTATAAATTATTTGGAAAATGGAAAAAAGGAAATGGAACCAAGGGGATTATTTAGATTAACAAAGACTGAAGCTACCACGGCACAGCACTACAAAGAAAAGATGTTGTAAATCGTGTGTGTGTCTACGCAGAACACCATTAAAGCGCATGCAGCACTTAGAGCATTTATTTTGAGGCTTTTGTCTCCCGTGTTACCTACATAAACCACATTCTGTCTTCTGGGACATGACACTGTCGTTTTCTATTTGTTTTAAAATAGAAACAAATGGACTAAAGGAATAAGAGGCTTTTAAATTATAAATGGATCTGTAAACAGAGTTCTGAGGGTCTGCGGTTGTTTATTCAGTCTGCAGAGTAAGTGCTACTCAGTGTGTGCATTTCCTAACATTCTACTCAGCCTGTGTTCGTATACCTGAGCTGGCCTGGTCCAGTTCAGTCTTGCCGAACCACAGCTGGGCTCCGTGCACTGTGCAAGTGTGAAACTGTACTCTGAAAATCACTTCCCTCTCTGCAGCTCGACTCCTCCGGTGAAAGCATTTCACCTGCCGAGAAACCACAGCGACAGGCAATTCTGTAGTTTTTTATTCAACTTCACAGAATCATAGGTTAAGAGATAAAGTAAAGGCAGTTTTTCAGAGACTAACAGTCAGATGTGAAGGTAAAGCAGCAGATTGGTTGGTGCACTGCAGTTATTGTGTGATTACGGATAAAACGTCCCCAAAAAACTTTTTTCTCTCACCATAATGTCACCCTTTAACAATAGTGCTGGCTCCATGGTCACACACAGCTTCCTCGCTCTGGAGCTCTGGGGATCACTGGACATACACAGAATAAAAACAGACATAAAACCAGTCAGTAACATGTCTCTGTTCAGTAAAACACTACCAAACAATAACGACGTGAATATAAACACAGACCAGCGTTACACCCAAACACAGACTGCGGCCTGCATAGACAACATCTGTCACAGCAACAGTGAAACCAGGATGTGTGCCCACAGGAGGTGATCTGAAAGCCAGACCAGAACTGGACAAGTGGGATTTTCTACTTACTATACACCTGATGTGTAGACCAGCTGAAGAGACTGGTAGATTTTCAGAAAGGGATAGAAACCTGCAAATGCACAAAGAAGTAAAGGAGTAAAGCAACAGAGATTTGCTTTGTCAAAAATGTCTTTACATTAAATTGTGTCTAGCTGACCTCCTCCGGTTTGGAAGTTTGGTAATGAAGGAATAAGGATCTGGTGGAGGAACATAGGGCTGCTGTTCATTTTGATGGTACCTGAGAGCAGGCCACTGAAGTAGTAGATGTACCTGAGAAAATAAGTGGGAGAAAATGAAGACGTTGACGACAAAAGTGCTGAGGTGACATCTGATCTGTGAGAGAGAGGGAAGTGATGACCTCTGACCTGTTCTGAGAAGGCTGCACTGAAGAGGAGACTTTGTCTTCACAGAACTTCCTCATGGCCAGGGTGGTGAGAGCCTGGTCTGCTCTGTGGACACAAGCAGCAGGTAATGAGAATGGAGCACAAATAGGAACTTTCTTGAACTCCATTCATAAAGGCATCAGTAGATGAGGTGAACGTGAGGCAGATTACCCAGCAGATATCTTGCTGTAGTGCATGTACGCTGCTACAATGACCCCCGTCTTCCCTTTGTTTCCCTGTCAGAGCACGATCACAGTTAGTGTGATGCTGGTTATTTCAGTGAATTACTTCAAAACGTACAAATGTACAAATCAGCTGTGCGTTCACTTACCTTGCAATGGAGGACCACTACATTGCTGGGGTCAGAGGTCAGCCAGGTCTCCATTGCTTTACAGATGGCACAGATCCTGTCCAAAGGAGGAGCATGAAGATCAGGCCAGCCAAAGTCCTGCACCTGTGTGGCATGGGAAAATATTAGTCATCCTGTTTTTTTACATTTATTGCTTTTATTAAGTTGTTATCATAAACTGAATATAGCTAGACAATATACATAATTGTACCTTTTGGTTAAGTCTGGTGATGTCATGTCTCTTCTCTGATAGGTTCAGTAGCTGCAGTGGTAAAAAAAAAAAAACATTGAAACTAGCAGAAGACATTGAACATGGCTCATGTAAAATAAAAGTGCACAATTCTACATTGTTAGATAATATATTAAAAATATAACATTTTCATTAATTTCATTTAAAATATATTTCTATAAAAATATTTCATATAATAAAAAATAGGTTGCCGTCAAAAAAAAAAAAAGTTTATTAATGAATTAGCAGGTAAAGTGGTACCAGGTTTAGAACGTCAGGTTTAGGTATAAGAGGAAGATCCACTAAACACTTGGATCCAAGCATGGAACTCTCCTGGCTCAAAACTCTGAGCAGAATTTCACAAGCGAACTGTTGGCAATTTAAAGAATTCTTTGTGCAACCAATGGCAATGAACTTAGGGTTGTCACCATCTGCAGTTAATAATGTTGTGAAAAGACTGAGGGAGTTTGGAGGAATCTTTGTGTGCAGAGGCCAAGGGAAGACACTGTTTCTGAAGCTGAAAGAGCTCTGAGCCAGAGATGACCGGCCTGACTCCAGATCTGTCGAGCAGCTCATCATTTTTTCCCACTCTCACAGAGAAGAGTGGGAATAAAATCCACTTACAGAACTTCAAAACAATCAATATCCACAGTTTTTATGGGGAAAAAAATCTTATTAAAAGAAAATACTTTACAACTGGGTGGTAAATCTGCCTCTGGTGTAACTGATGAGAGGTCAATAGTAAAGTCATACTATTTATTTCTAAAAATGGGATGTTATTTGAATTGCTATAAATACATGAGATAATACAGTTGAAATTAGAATTGAGTTTTGTGCTTTTATTTTTTATTTATATATTGTCTGTTAAAGTATTAAAATCATTATTTGTTGAAAAAGTATATACATATACTATATTATAATAATTATATTATATTAAACACACAATAGTGTAATAGAAGAATGAGTGACTAGTAAAAGTACATCAGGGTAAGAGTAGAGATTATATTGCACATTTATATAATCACTACTTTTAGTGTATAGTACAAACCAGATACTTGTCTTGGTGCTTGGATTTGAGCATGGAGGCCACTTCCTGTAGGTTTCTACGGTACCGCTGTTCCTCCAGGTCTGGCAGGAAGAACACCGAGATGATCCGCTCTGTGATGTAGGTGAGGTCAAAGTCGTAGTGATGCTCCATCACGTGCTCCATCACTTGCTCTGCACTTCTGCTCCTGGACATTCCAAGGAGTTCATTCTTTCAACATTTATGTCCATGATGTTGAATTTATGTTTCGAGTGTGTTTTGCACCCACCTTGGTAAGGAGCCTCTCTTCTTAAATGACATGGATTTGGTTGAAGCTCTCTAGAAGAGTGTAATATGGTATCTTCTAGAGCATCACATGAAATAAAGTATTTGTCTATATTTTATAAAAGTTGTAAAAAAAACTTACCAGATCTGAAGACGGTGTGCAGGCAGGGCTCACCTGACAGAAGAATAGCATGTGGTTATTTTCACACAACAGACACTGTACACACTAACACAAATATAAACTTATGGAAACACAAACAACAGAGTTGGAATGAACAAGCACGTGAGAAACCATGTTAAATATAAACATATAATATAATAAAAAACATATGGAAACACAAACAACAGAGTTAGAATGAACAAGCACGTGAGAAACCATGTGTTGGATTTATTGCTCCTTGGTTCATCTCCAAGAATGAGCCAAAAAAAAAAAAGAATGGAATGTGAAGATCTGATGAAGAGGAGATTAAAAGCCATTTTAAAGTTCTTCTACTGCAACTGTTTTTATTTACAAGAGAAGAGGTTTGAATTGTCAGATCCTGACATGCACCTGCTTGCCTGCGTGAAAAGATCTTAATGACATTAAAGTGACGTTTGAAAAAACAAAACAAAAAACCACTCCATCTCTCGCTGACTTATTGAACCACTGACAGAAGAAGCAGAGAGGATCGTACAAAGGGACACTCAATTAAAGTGATTGATTGCGTTTTCTCTGTGCCTCAAGAAGAAGAGCAAGTTTGGAAAAGATGGATGTAGTTGAGTCAAGGACACATGTGGCCTGCAGTCCTTCAGATCTGTTGGCCAGCCAACGCTAATTTGCCAAGACCACAAACACACACGGTGTATACAGACAGAGGGAAGCTGAGGTTAGCAACAGACAACACAGTCTTTTATATTCACTTAAACCCCAGAAGGTTTGCGTTACGAATTGTTTATTATGATGAAAATGTTTATTTCCCTGTTGTGATGAGCCAGTAGAAAGTGACAGTTCAGGAGACGTAAAACCTTTAACTTTGGTAAAAGTGAACTAGCAAACTCAGTAGAACACATAGGCTCTGGTTGAACACCTTGATGTGTTGCACACTGTTGCCCTTTAACCTTTGACTTGACCTGTGAGGATGAGTGACAGCTAAGATTTCCTACGAGGCTTTTAACCCTTTCTGGTGTTGACAGGTGTCAGGCTGCAGGTTAACAAGTCAAATGTCAGACAATCATAACGATCCGAGTAGAGAAGCGTCCAAGGCAGCAGCGGTGTAGAAGTACTGGGTATGAACAGAGACGGACATCTTTGAAGGTATTCAAGTATATTATAGAGAAAAGGAATTTGTATTCAAAAAATGAAAATATGTAGGAATTCACTTAACGCTGTATTTAACAGGCAAAAGAAGACGGAGAATTCTTCTTAAGATATCAGTTGGTGACTTCTTGTTTAACAGTCACCGACTTCATTGTAAACACAGTAGAGATTGTAAACACAGGATGGACATGTGATCCGTAAAAGAGTCGTAAAAGAAAGGAGGAGGAAATGGATTCACTGGAATTGAAAAGAGCAATATAAACTGTAGAGCTGCTCTACTGATGCATTTCTTTTTAATTATGTCGTGCAGACTTCAGCCAGTGTACAGTTCTAACAGGGCTCATGTATTATTGAGTTAGTCTGTGGAGGATTTACTTAGTGTTTCTTGCCTGGGATGAGCAGCTTTTTTTTTCATCATTCTGCACAACATCCTACCAATTTGCATGTCTCTCCATGTACAGAGTTAGATTTAGGTTCTGCTACATCAGATAGAACTCTTCTCCTGACAAGTTAAATACTTAAACACACTTATAACAACATCCTCATATCTTACCACAGCACAATTCAGTGCATATCTTATCCTAACCTTTTTTTCTCCACTGTAATATATACAGTACAGCTTCATCGTAGGATTAACATCAGCTTCACCTCATCAGGACAGACTTTGGGTCAACTTTATCAACTAATGGTTCTAAGAATATCAGTGAAAATGCCAGTAATGGTCCTCAGAAACTAATTACATTTACTATTGAAAAAGCCTTCCATAAAATGTCCCCAGAAGGACATCTTTAAGCTAGACCACACACACACATACACACACACTTGTAAGATGTGACCACTTCTCATTGATGTCATTATTTCCCAGCCTCTTACCCTAACCTTAACTGTTACAACCACAAATCTGATCTCAATCCTTACCCTAACTCTAATCCTAACTCCTTCGACCTCAATTTATCCTTTCACTGAGTGATGATCTGAAAAATGTCCCCACAACTACAGTTCATCTGTACATGTATTCTGTCTGATAAAGACAGAACACATACACGTACACAGTAGAAGTGCAGCATTTAATGAGCAGTGAGAGACAGCAGAGTCAACAGGATGTCACTGCTGGTCAGCTGAAGTTTACACACACAACCACATACAGGCTGGGTGTAAAGGTGTGTTTTTCCTGGCCGTTCTCTGAGCCTCGGGGTCTTCATGTGCAGCAGACCAGGCCATCTGGTTCAGTTTGTCTTGTTGATCAGCCACTGACAGAGCCACTGACAGCAGTCTGTTGCTCACTGACTTACAGGGGACTGGACTCTGAACCGGTTTGTTCTTCAAAGATTCTGCAGTGACTCTGTGTTTTTACTTTAACCTTTGAATGAGTCTTAGATTTGGATGAAAACTCATACGTATTACTTGAGAAGAATACAACTGTAGAAACTAAGCAGTTTTTTTTACAAGTTCCTGGGAATGCTGTATACACTATCCTGAATACAAATATTTACACACAAAAACGTTTCTGTATGCCGGTCCGGTGGTGGATGGAGGAGCTGTACGGAATCCAAAAAAATCAGATACAAACTTTTTACATCCGCTTCCTTTATGGTTCCTCACAGTAGAAAATGAATGAATGAATGACACTGTTCATGCTGTGCACTTGTAGCTCAACTGTAAACCTGACATAAGAACCATAAATACACCTTTAGAGCTACAACTATATTTAGCTCATGGAGTTCTCTCATTGCTACTTTCCACCATGACACATAGGCGGTGGCAGAATTAAAAATGTCTCCACCATCCTGAATTGTCACTACTTTCCAACGAGAAGGAGATTCAACAGAGAGACGTGCCAGAGCAGAACAGAGCAGAGTCAGTTCCAAAGACGTGGAAAGTGAATTTGAGCATTCGAGACACATGCGCTGGTGTGTCACCGAGAAGGAGGGACTCTTATTCTGACAGCTCAGAGCTGACATCACACAGTGTAGAGGGATAAATGAGTAAGCTTTCCCAGTCCAAACTATAAGAGCTGAATAAAATGTTCTATTCCACTGTCCAACAAAGACTTGGTACAACTTAATACAGAAACACTATTATGGGATACAGTTTAAAAAAACCCACCATCACAGCAGAAGATAGCTGTACTTGTAATTATGTCTGAGGATGAAAGGCCAATGTCCCTTCTCCCTCGTGTCTTTATGGGATTGTCTTTATCACTCCTTCCTCCCGTCTTTTCGTTCTCCATCTTTGATCCCTCTATTAGCCGTTTCCTACCTCCTGCTGCCTCCTCCCACCCCTCCTTCCTGCCCACTCACTGATCTCCCTCCTGACCGGAGCGTGATAATAATCATTCCTATCATCAGATGCAAGAATCTGTTCTTCCTAAATAAACAACAGCACATGGCAGAGACCATTCAGATAAAAACCGCTCAGAGTGAGGGTGAGTCACTTTGGTGAAAGGAAGCACTGACAAGGCCACAGACCAAGAGTTCAATGTCTGTGGAGACAGTTTTACAGATTTTAGAGGGAAAAGGCGGACACAGAAATGACAAGAGACAAAGAGAGGCCTGAAGGCAGTGAGACAGAGATGTCAACAGCTGAACATGCCGCCTGATCGCTGGTCAGATTGTTATAGCTATTTTGATGAAGCTCCTTATTTTAGACCACACTTAAGGGCTCCTTCATTATATTTGTTATCCGTCAGTCATCTCACAAATCTACTTGGCTTTCATCCAGCGGCAGCATGTTTCACTAATACGGCACAACGGTTCCCAGATTAGCAGGCGGCCCCCACTTTGTGGACGTGGAGTAATTGTTGGTGCAGCAGGTCAAATGAATTCAATTCTTTGAATTTTCTATCTGTGTGTCAGAGTGACATTTACTGTCAAAACATTTACTGTTTTCTATCTTCTTTTTACAGGACATTGTAATTTTCTTTATGTGCAATATTTCTATATTCCATGTTCTCATGTGCGCCCCCTGAACACAGGAAGTGACATTACATTATGCGTGAAGATGATCATAGCTTATCATGAAACTTATCCTTGTTTTTAATCTCATTGTTGGTTCTGTTGATTTGTTGGTTCTTGTGATAATTCCTGTTTTTAACTGAAAAGTATTTTTTCCAAATAGCAAACCACACTTTTAACATTTACAGTTTTTGATTAATGAACAAGTTAATGACATGAATTGTAACTTGTATTGAAGTACTTCGGATAAAGCCATACTTGTTGGGATTTATCATTTTTGGAAAAACATTATGGTTGTGATTGCAGGTCCTCTCCGGGTGAGAGGGTATTTTGGAATTAAGGTCAGATTAGATATGGGGCATGGATAGGGATTAGGAGTATATTTGTGATAGTTGAGGTTAAGGGGTCACAGAATGCAATAATGCTTTGTAAACTGAACTCACAAAACACAAAAACAGTGTATGTGTGTAAGAGAGTGTGTGTATAAACCAATACATTTGAATTAACAATCTGGATAAATCAACACCACAGCAGTAATAAACACAGTATGTGACAGAAATAACTCTCTTGATTCCTCTGTTGCACCCTAAACATTGATCTGCAGTAACTCCCCCCTTCACCCCCCACAGGACAGACCGTCCAGAACTGACTGGAAAGGGACAAATGAAAAAAAAAAAGTCTTGAAATACTGCCAGACAGGAAGTGGCACATTCTAACCCATCCATGGTCCAACTGAAACAGTTTAATTTTAATATGCAGATCCTATTTGGATATCAACATAAAAAAAAGTTTCCTACGGGAAATTCTGGAAACTTTCTGCAGAAAGCTTTTTTTTGTTTTGTTTCAGCCACACTGAGGATGTCGACATCACCATCACCCCTCTTCACATCCTCCTTATCGCTGTATCAATTCATAACTCAGCATAAAACAAAAGCCCAACAGCTGGTGTGTGAGCAGACGACACTGACCATCTGTTTTTTCAGACACAAAGCATTTACATCCATCATGATGCCACAGAAAAACTGAGTGGGTCTGTGTTTCTGTCAGGTTCCCCTTTGTTCAGGGATGATGTAGTATACACGGCACACATGTACACACAGATACATGTCTGCACAGCGCTGAGAGAGAGAGAGAGAGAGAGAGAGAGCTAATACAGTTAATGTAACTGCCCCAGTCTGAGTTGTACACATGTTCATGGTTGTTAAGGTCTAACAGTTATAACCTGCTACACAGTGCGGACCACCGCTGTCTGAACAACATGTACATGTTATAAATTCATTCTGACATGTTTTTCTAGTCAGCAATTTACTGAGGAACTCAAGACCCTCCTGGTCGGAGCTTTAACAGAGCTACATCCACACAAACACACGCCGCCTCAACAGAGCAAAACACTGTGGACCAGTGTATGGACATCTTATACTGTAGCAGCTTAGTGGAAAATAAATAGACACGCTGTTTATCTATGAATGAAGCAAAGCATAGCGTCACGTGAAGATAGAAAGCAGATCATGTTGTTGTTTGTTTTGTTTGTTTTTTACCTCTAAAGAAGCAGCTTCAGTGGTGAGTTCCTCTGCCTCTCAGCAGTCCTGTCTGAAGAGTGTGATACTCCACCTCCCTCCACCTCCCTTCCTAACCCTGCCTCTCGCTCTCTGTGCTTACTCTCACTCACTGAGTCACTTTAGCTCTCTCCCTCACATCATGACACACACACACACACACACCCAAACCCACTGTGGCAGCAGCACATGCACACTACCCCTGCCCTCTCACTCCTGTCTGTGACATACGTGGACATTTACAGTACATTGGCCAGTGAAACTGTGTCACGTGCACTAACTAACACACAAACATCAATACTGTGCATGGAGACTCAGTGAGCAGTGTGGCCTGACATGATGACATTGGTCTGTGAGCTACAGTGATTACAACAGAAAAACACACAGATGAGGCAATTAAAAAAGACAAGCTAAACAAGAGAAACATCTTTTTCAATCACTCACACCAACGTTCCTGTTATTTAATTTGGCCTCTAAGGATAGCAATACTAGAAGTTGATAAACATTATGATAAATTAATCTAATTTGTTCTAGAATATATTGAGATCATAGCAACACAAACTGACAACAGCAACATTAAACATGTTAAAAAACAAAGCTGGGCAATATCACACAGCTTTTTTTAATGTGAATATATATATATATATATATTTATATATGTATATATACAGTTTATATATGTATATATATAGTTAAGATTTTAACCATGTTGAAGTAACCTTCTTCAACCTACAGTCCTAGAGATTTTGGAAATTACTTAATTCTGCAGGATTACTCTTTAATGAAAATGTACATTAGATTATGTAAAATGAAAAAAATAAATCCATATGTGGAAAACACTGGAAAAGTTATAGTTTAAAGTTACTACATTATGTAAGATGATCAAATTATGAAATAAACTGTTAATTGTATTGTAATATTGTAATAAATTTTAAGTTAAATTAAGACAAACTAACAAAGTTAAAAAATGAAATAATAATTTGACATTTATGAGCAGATACGTTGAGTGACAGACAGAACAGAGATAGCATGACATGAAAGACTGCAGCTTAGCCCCCCCCCCATTTATGAATAACCCAAATGGCCAGATTACACACACACACACGCACACACACACAGGCTCCCCAGCTGCTGCCCACTTATATGCGTCCTCTCTGCGATCTCCAACTGGAAGGCATCTACGGCACTCTTGTTATTTTCTATATTTATCCACTCAGTCTTCTCCTGTCCACATTGATCATAGTCCCATGTGATGATGATGTCCCCTCACAGACAGGGCACCTGATTCAGCTGCAGCCGCTGAGAGCTGTTTTGGGCTGTCACTGAGGAGACCGCAGGGACGGGTATGACAAAAATAATAATCCTCTTTTTAATGTGTGCTGCTAAGGCACAACAGCTGGTGGTGCCCAGAGATGCACTATTACAGTGACAGTGTGTGTGTGCACAGTGAAGGAGGCAGACAGAGGAGGAGACACACTTCACCCCACACCTCCTAAATACAACATGCGATTGGAGCTGAGGCTTAAAGTCAAGAAAAAACGTATAAGAAAACAACTAAAGCTGATACAACTTCACAAATTTACCATATAAAAAAAATAAAAAATAAAAGCTGATACAACTTCACAAATTTACCAAAAACTACCATAAAAATGCAGTCATTATTAGCAATTAAAATAATAAAATTATTAAGATAACCCTCCGAATTGGGCTTTAATATTCATAAATGCCATTTTAGAAAACGTTTCCAAATATATAGGGTAAATACTTAAAACAAGTTTTATATATTTTTTCAAGACATTAAAAACAAATGTAGGATAATGTCCCGTAGAAGTTCCGTCTGTGTGTGTGTGTGTGTGTGTGTGTGTGTGTGTACACTGTAGTCACTATTGAGAAACCTTGCTATGCCATGTTACCACATGACTGAATTACTCTTAGCAACTTGGCTGTAGTACAGGGCTGACCCCTTCATTAGAGCGGACATTTAGGTCAGAACACACGGTGACTTCACTCACGATGGTTATTGGTGGGGATGGGAAATGATTAAAAATGTTTAATCTGATTAATCACAGGCCAGCTGTGGATTAATCATGAATTATGGAGACATTACTAAATAGAAACACAGCATAAACAAACTGTGTGTGTTGGGTTTTTAATCACACTTTATAAAAGAATAATAATTAGTTGAAAAATTATTTTTTAACAGCTCATTTTACTTACTAATATTATTAAACATTTCAGACAACACTATGTGGGGCCACGACCCCAAGGTTTAAAAACACTGCATTAATTAATGTTGTGTAGCAGGAGCACACTTTGCTCAGGACAAAGGGGGAGGAGTCAGGTTGACCTACCTTGGGTTGACAGCTCTTGTGAATGGAAACCTTGCACTCTGTGAACAGGAGAGAGAGGAAGATGGGATTAAACTGAGAAGATCAGATGGACAGCATCTCTGTTAGGTCTACGGCCTGATGTCTGTCCTGACATAGACTCACCTTTGCAGAAAGCTCCTGGGTTGATGATGTTGTGCTTGCACACTTCACAGATCCGTCTCTTTTTAAAGTTCTTCTCGGTGAATATGTGACTCCCAACCTTGGCCAGCTGCAGATACAGTGCAGAGTGACATCCGATCATTTTAACACAGAACTTGTTTCTGAAGGTTGTCGTCCTCCAACGTCTCCAAAATGACACACTTTTAGGAGCACGTCGGGGACAAGTTCCACGTTCTGGATGCTTTAAAATTTAATCTCAGCTTGTTTCCAGATGAAGCATGATAAGTTGGCAGCTCTCCTGCCCAGTTGCTGACACGTCACAGATTCTCTGGTACAATGGCATTTCAGCACAAGGAGAGTGAGATCCTACTGTTTGTCATTCGAAGCACCAGTCACAGCATCACAGAACAACACATCTGACGACGTCCTGGTGTTTTGTTTTTTTTTGTTGTTGTTATAACTTGGCCTCATTCTGTCTCATTCAGTGGAGCCATTTGAAGAATGAAGACAGAAATGGATAATGAAACAATAAAAATAAGAACATTAATATTCAGCGTCACCACATGAGAGAATACAAGCTTTGAAATCATTGAGGAACAATGTTTTCTTTGTTCTTAAAGATGGCTAACTAAGGCAGTGATGCCTTCACCATCATAGGCAAAACACTGTTCACCTTAACCTTAAACAATGTGCTGCAGTGTTTTCAGATACTTAAAGGCTAACCCTTACAGTATGTCTACATGCTTACCACAAATTATAATTAGGTGAAAGCACAGTTGCTGACCAGGCTAAAACAGAAGTTACATTATTGCACAAATGGTTTCATCAGATGCTAGAAAATGATTTTTAGAGCAAACATAGTGGAGCAAAATAAGGGGTGGGGGGAAACAGTTAATGTAATGCATTTTTCACAGTAATGCAGTGAATCCCAAAACCTGTGATTAGTAAACAAAACTGAGAAAAGCTTAATAAATACATGTTCATATAAAATCACTGACAGTATCCTTTTACTGTATGAGTCTGACTGTGAGCTGAACCCACACTGGCAGCTGTGTAAACAACAGACATTAGCTTTTGTGACCTGGGCAAAAGTGGCGAGGCTGACAGACATATTCTTCAACAGTTTTAAAAACTCAGTTAATCTCTCTCTCTTTCTCTCTCTCTGAGTGAGCATGTTCTTCCTAGTGGCAAATAAATGTAATACAGTGATAATTGATATATTTCTCTTACTCCAAACCAATAATCAACACTGGTCACACCAAACCAAATTAATAGCCCTAAAACGGTACGTTACACTATTCAGTTTTTCCCTCTGCTCGGAAAGAGGGTGTATGTGAGTGAAAGAGAGAGAGAGAGAGAGAGACTTACAGGTCCATTAATAACATACCTGCACACACTGCTGCTGTTATTTTACCCTGACTTGATGCATTACTCTGGTCCTGGAGAAAAACCACAGTTTATTTCTCTCTCCAGTCCCTGCATTTACCACACACAGGAGCAGCATTGACGTTTTACTCTGTAAGGTGAGAGTACATGCTCACCAGCTGTGCTATACCTTCACAAACAGCCGCTTATTGACTTCCAAACACCGCTCACACTTCCTCCACCCTCCTCCTGATTACAGAGTGGAGGCAGGCTCGTACACTCTAAGGCAATGTATTATAAAAGAGCTGGATTTTTTTCTCTCGGTCTAAATCCTTTATGAATAGAAATACATAATTCATTATTTATGTGACCCCAGCTTGGGTTTTATGTGGTTATGTAATGTGTGGATCAGAGGAGTCACTTAATGCAACAAAATTAATCCTAAACTCTCTTCATTACAAAATATTACAAATGAATAACACAGGACATGACAACATTTTGGAGAGAGTTTTGACTGAAAAATTAAACTTGCTCAAGTGAACACGCAATAAAAGACAAAGAATAGTGTCATGCAGCCCAACTAGTTAATTCTTCCTAAAAATACAAATAGTGCCTTAATAATAACGTAACAAACAATAAACACATACTTATACAGATATGTCAGGTGGTTTGTTTTCATTAAGGCTAACAAATGTGTTCATTTAACAAAATGTTTAACTTAATATGTTATTATCCAATTTATCCAAAAAATGAATGTAAACATGGATGTACTGAGCTAATGCTTTGTGCTGCTGCACCACCCATGACAACCGAGGAGCTTCGAAAAAAAAGTTGAGTAAATATAAACATGGCAGTAAGCCCACAGTATACACGGAGGAACTCACGTTTCTCCGTTCGACCAGCTACCAAACCAGAGGACACCGTTTCTTTATATCTGCTATTTTAAAAAAAGTGAAAGACGTCGTTGTCTTTATATGTAAAAATGTTTCTTTTAATTTTTTTATTAATCAGTAAGTTCTTTAAAATGTACTTCATTGCGGCGTTTGTTTTTAAAAGCTCTATGTTTTAGAATAGTGAAATTTTCATTTGCCTAAATTTCCCGTTTGTTTTTTTCCATGACACCTTCAATATTTGTTTAGTTTTTCTTCTTAAGATAATTCGATCAGCGGGGAAAAAACAAGTTAAGGGCACCTCACAGTGGTAAAATCGTGTCAGTGCACCTCAGCTTCAGACGAGAGCTTCTGTGTGACGACTGATTAAGATCGAGGCTGTTTATATTATTATATATTTATTTATCTTGTCTTTATTTATTATATATTTATTTACTAAAGACTATTTGTTGAGTTAAAAAATGCGTATTTTACAAAAAGTTCATTAACTGCCTCTTTTGTAATCAGGCTGTAGCCTTAGCTACGTCTCATTCCCTGGCTACTTTGACTCTCTTGGCTAACTCTACCTGGAGGATGTTCCCCGTGGTCTCCTCCCGGAACGACATGTTATTAACACCTCCCAGGACGACGTAATGTGAGAATCATAAGCAGAGTATTTTAACCACGTGAACTATTTTTTTCTGCTTTAAGGGTTAGCAACTGAACTCTGAGACATTCCCAGATTACTGATATTTTTACCCTGTCTTCGGGGGAGACACCAGTGTGTGTGTCATGAAACACTAATGAAATTATCAAATTACTACCTTTAATGTTTTTTAAAAAAAGACATAGTTATCTCCTCTTAATCAGATCATAGGGAAGGTGAATGATGTCATACAACAGCCATTTTACAGTAATCTTAACGACAGATGCCACGACTTGTGACTGTTAACTAAACTGTGTCCACTGACTCTCTGACTGTAACTGTGGTCATCATCAGCGTGTACAGAGGCTCCCGTGACTATCAGCAGAGTATTGCATTGCAGCCTTTAAGAACCCCACCCCAGGCAGAGTGGTGCAGCCAAATTTTGTGTCATTCTCCAAGCATCTTTGACCACTGCAGAGAGCACAAAACATTTGTACTTCCATCGCAGAGAGGAGGAGAGGCAGCCAGCAGATTTCAACACAGTTCTCTGTCAGAGGAGCAGTGCATTAAGCTGCATATATATAGTATATCTTTGAAAAAAAAAGTTTAAGGTGACACAGTCATTCCCTGTTAAACTATTAAGTTTGTTAATGTTAAGAATTTGCATCTTTTATGAAGGGAAAATCAACATAAAAAATGTTGTTGCATGACAACACACACCCTTTATTGTGTTAAAGCATTTCCTTATTTTATTATCACCCCTCGCTGTCTTTGACAAATGTAGGAGATGTTTACTCAACACTGTTAGACAAATGCTCTCTGAATCAGTCAGACTTTAAGGGGGTCTTCTGTGCTCTTACGTTTTCAGGTTAACCCACTGATTATTATTGCATGCCTTCATTTTTCATATTCTTTTAATCTTTGACATTGTAAAAAAAAAACAAAAAAACACACATCTGAAAAGCATTCATACAAAATAAATTCTGGTGTTTATAACTGTTTATGATTACCACCAACCTAACTAAAGCACCAGCTCAGAAACACAGAGAGGTTTCAGTGGTTATTAGCTGGATGATGTACTGATGGTTGATATTTCGCAATATGGACAAAACAATCTGATCAAATTAATGAAATCATATTTTATCGCAAGCTTTTGATGGACTTTAGGGAAACTCTCACAATCCAGGGTTTCTGCCTGGCAACGATACCTTTTTTTGTTTTTAGTTCAACTACAGTATTTGAACCATGCAACACCAGTGCCTGAGTAAAGAAGAGAAATCAATAAGTTCCTGTGGTGTTTTGGCAAGTTTATTTAATTAATTTATATTGAAAGTTTCACTTTCTCTTTTTAATAAATAGAGATTATACGTCTTAGTAAACATGGTGATCTGTCACATGATCAATCCATACATTAAACAAAACAATGGGGTTAAATACTGACACAGCAGCTCTGTCTCTGTTTGTTTTAAAGGGTGACACCTCAGAAGTGATAACATGTGAGTGAGCTGAAGCCACACACACACACACACACACACACATGCGATCAAGGGACGGGAGCAGGTGGCGAGTCAGGGGTACGCTCGAGTTCTGGGAGGGTATTTATAACTTACGGGAGTGGAGACTGACACCTTTTTATAGAGTCATGAAAGCACTGAAAATAGGTGCGGGAAAGGAGTGTGTTTGTGTGTGAGAAAGAGAGAAAGACAGAGAGAGAAGAAGAGGATGAAACAATCATGAGAAACTCTTCCAAACTCCTGGAAAGTCTGCATGCATGACACAGTTGAACATTTTTCCTCTCCACTGGAGTGTCCACCCATTCAGCTGGGACTATGTTATCATTAATTGGCACACACACACACACACGGACACACACGGACTCATACTCTCTCCAAGAAAAAGTGGAGTCATTGCTCATGTGCCTGTAGAAGTGTATGGTAGTGTGTTCAACCGCTGGGACGCTTCACTCTGCTTGTACTTTCTCTTTTCCTTTATTTTCCAGTGGAATATAGATCCAATAGAGGGCAGTATTTGAACAAAATTTGTGGAAAACACATGAGGAAACACATTACCAGAGAAAACCCATGCACACTCTTGCAGAAAGATCCGGAATCGAACAGCAAACTGGTGAATTGCTTGCTGTAAGGCAGTTTTTTTCCCACCTGTTGCCAATAATCTGTCATATGGTAAAAAGTTAAGCAACAAAAATACAGTAACTCAACATATAACATGGTATTTACACTGCAATCATGGCGCCCCCTATAGGAAAGACATTGAAAAGTCTTTATGTTATTGACTATGAAATCTCTCTATACTCCAGGGAGTATGAATACATACATATATGAAAGCCTGAAGAATTAAATTCTGTACATTTTAAACCAGAATTAATTATCCGATAATGTCAACTTTTTCTTTTTCCAGTAGAAAAAAATGTTTAGATGTAAATAGGATCACAATTTTAAGGTGAGGTTAAAAACTATCAAAGAGTTTCCTGTGAAATTACACACATACTTGAAATGTCTGGGCAAAATAAATTGTCTTCTTAAAAAAAAAATGACCCAAAATCAAAACAACGGCCTTTTTATTTTTGTTTTTCTGCCCATCATGTGAGACCGTGGACACATTCTCCCGTTTACCACGGAGACTAAAACGAATGGACTCCTTTTATTTTAGACTTTGTAAAAGTCCTCCTCAAGGGGCCATTACATGTGTGGCAGCGTGGCTTCACCCCTAAAGCTATACATGTTCCTAAATAGAGGCAGCAGACAGGCGGACGGCAGGTCAAACCCAGCGGTAACTTATACCACTTCCTCTTGAACCTTGACTCCAGCAGGACATGATTAACAGCTATCAAGTTCACACACACTACTCTGGCGTCAATCTATTTTGGACAGCCTTCGCTGAGAATTCCTTTGTTTGATGTGCAGTATTTCAGTTAAAAATTGAACTTTCATGTGGTGCGGGCATAAAAACAGACTCGAGGGGTAAAAACACATTGATCCTGGTGTACAGGAATGTGTGGCATGAGAGGCTTTGGTTGGGTTTGATTCACAAAAAAACACGAGAGAGCGACGAGAGCTGATTTACAGCAGAACTTTGGTTCATTTCTTTGATTGTTTAGATTCCTTCCTTCTAGTGTGTGTGTGTGTATGTGTGTGTGATGAGCAAAGCATTTAACAATGGAACAAGTCCAGCTGCTTCTGCTGGAGTGAAATTATGAAAACAATGTGTGTCCTCTGCCATTTGGAGAAGCTGCCGCGGGACCGTACACGTCCAAACATCCAGGATGCTCGGAGGGTTTTTGTACTGGTCTGGAGACTTGGTGCTAAACTGAAATGATTTTCCTTCTCTGTGTTAATAAATGATCCAAGATAACAGTTGAATGAACTACCACTGATGAAGTGATTGATTGGATCATGAGCAGCATTGTCAACACCTGCGTGTAGAACACCTACCTCTGCCAGCTGCAGGATTTCAGGGTGTACCTCAGGCTCCGTGGTGATAGGAATCCCTCCTGGGTCAGTACTAAGTCCACGCTTCTTTATCCTGCCAGTGCCCGTGCTGTGAAGGCACCCCATGTTACCGGCAAAAAACCCAAACTTTCTCCTCTTCTTTCAAGTCAAGTGTTGCCTCCTGCCTCCTCTTCCTCCTTTCAAGGCTTCATGTCATGAAGGGCCTCCTTATGTCTTCTTCTCCAACATGCTCCTTCTTTCCCCCAGTGAATCCACACACACACACACACACACACACCGGCCTCTCTCTGTGACAGTTTGTCCTGTCTTGAAATCCACCCCAGATGACCCCCCCCTGCACACACACACACCTCTCCTTCCTTCTCCCTTCCAAGCACCAAGCACAGACCCTCACCTCTTCCCTTACCCTCTCCTCTTACACTCTTCCCTGTCCCTTGCTCTCTGGCTTTCCTCACTCCGAAAACATGCGAGCGCACACTCACTACCTCCTCCCCCTCTTCTTCCTCCCCTCTCCCTCCCTCTTCATCTAACTATGGTCCAAACCAGTGCTCTCACCCTCTGCACACTTACAGACGCTCCAGTCTTTCTTTCTCTCTCCCCCCTTCTTGCTCCATCAGTCTCCCCTTGCCGTTTCTCCATGGGGGAGAAGGAGGCAGCTGTTTTGCCTCGCTGATGTCAGAACCTTCCCCTTTCCTCTGGCTCCACTTCGGCCCCTTCTCACTCTCTTCTTCCTCACGAGGGAGTGATCAGATAGAACTTCTTTCACAAAAACCAAAATCCCAGAAGACGTAACTACGCACAGGGAGATCCCAGAGGCCGGAGTTCACTGATCACACTTCTCCCCTAGTCGTCCTGGAGAGGTGACGAAATTTAACCCTCCAGCAAAACACCAGGGAGAACAGAACAGAGAGTGAAGCCTTCATTTCACAATCAGGTTTTTATCTCCGTTTTGGATGCAGCAGATGTAACGAGGCCCACAGTCGGACTGATGCCGGACACAAACTGTAATGTCCATCTCTGTTCCCCCTGTTGTACACTCAGGGAAACAAAGATAGGCTCTGTGTTTCAGTCGTAGCTTCTTCGTCAAATTCCTTCATGCAGTTTCCCCTCTCCCTGTAAGACACACTCATGTACACATTGGGCTACTGTATTTCCACTGACTAGGTTTTCTCAGGACAGAATGTTGCCTGGAGCTGGAGAGCTCTAGGGTGAAGAGGGGAAACTCTCCAACAATGAGCTCTTTCTGGAGTGAAGATTTTAGCCTCCATTTACACTGAACAAAGAAAGACTGGTCATTTCAAAACACGTTTTAGAAACAAACCAATTCAATTTGAAGAACTTCAGCAACTTGGAAATGCCTTGATGCCCTCTCTCTCTCTCTCTCTCTCTCTCTCTCTCTATATATATATATACAAACAGAATCATGGATTTTCTGTACAAAGTCAGATTTTGCTGAACTCATCATTGTTTTCAGTGCTTTCAAGTTGTGGCCTGAGGACTTGAGGACGGACCCTCCTGTGTGAGGCAGCTGCTGAGTCACGTAAAATGGTGGGGAGGGAGGGAGGGAGAGGGAGCAGCTGACGGATGGATGACACAATAAAATCTCAGGTTGTCTCTCTCAGTTAGTGCTTGGTGTATATGACGTCTCACGAGGAAAATTGCTGTACACTACCTGGAAACTATACTTAAAGTGTGATATAAATAAAATAAAATACATCATTATTTGTAACTAAATTGTTCTTGTTATTTAAAAATGTACTCATTAGCCATGAAGGGCAACAATATATTTTTTTACACTTGCCCACAACAAATTTCTGAACTGTGTGTACAAAGAATAATCTTATGACCAGTGTGACTAAACGTGCCACCTGCTGCGTGTTCCTGTACTGGAAGGTTTGTTTATATCTGCCCAGAAAAGCATGCCTACTGTTCAGACGGATATTGGAACTGAATCCCTGTCAGTCTGTGTCTGTGTGTGTGTGGAACATGGGACTCAGCAGGATCCTGACCACCTGCCACCCAGATCCTAACCGTCAACAGGGGGCAGAGACTGTAGAAACACTGTTGACATCTCCTGATTGGTGTGATCCAGAGACCACACTGGGAGAACAATTAGCTAAAAGACATATTAATGTCACCTGGTGACTGACAGTGAATCAATTCATTTTATAATTTTGTGTCACCCTGAATAGTTTGTCAATGTGGAAAAACTCCCAGACGCACATTCTATTTTTGATATTTAAACAATCCTACAATACTGTTTACTGCAGTTTTCTGTGTATTGCTCTGGCTTTAAAAGTAATCATTAAAACAGGATTTTTATTTTACTCTGAAATCTCAAGTCGAGTTCACTTGATTATTACTAGACAGGATTATCATGAATAATGTTGTAGCAAATTAATCTGAATAAAAAGGCCACCTGATGAGCTCAATAATTTAGTAATTTAGTCAAAAGTTTTTTTTAGAACCATAGGTTCGTAGTTTCACTGTCAGCTCGTGACCTCACCCGTGATCCACAAACATAACAAGATCACTCATTTCCCCCACACCGTTTCCTTTTATTTATTACAATTAAGTCAATGTAATCCAACATCATTCCATTTGTCAGCTACTCCTCGCCCCCTTTTAAAACAAGTCCAGTATGTGACTTTTAGAACCTGAAAAGTCCTGGAGGTGGCGCAGTGGAGGGAGAGAGGATGGGTAAGTGAAAGGGCAGAGGGCAGGTTTGTAGGAAGGAAAGGAAGGAGGGAGTATAGTGTCCTCCCAGAAGCTTCGTCCATGTGAGACTTTTCATAAACTATGTGAAATTATTTTGTTCTGCATTCCCGGTTTCTCTTCTTTGAATTCTCGGGCTGCGTCTTCTTTGTTTTCTCTCTAATCCATGTCGTCTGCGTCGTCGCCTTGATCTCCGTCCATTAACAGAGCGTACTTACTAGCTGAGCTGAACTTCTGTGAGGGAAAGAAAGGATGCATAAGAGCATTGACTTTACTAGGAAACATTTCACAAAACTCACAACAATAGAATTTAATGCTTTGTTTCATCTTTTGATCAAGTCGATGAGGCTCAGTCAGGACGACCAGGCTTCCATGTACAGTGAAACCTCAGTTGGCGAATGCCTCCCATGTCGAACAATTCGGTTCACAAACAACTAACCAAACCAAACTAAACCAACCAAAAATTACCGTTTGCACTACCATAACTCGGTTGCCAAACAAGAGACAAAACATCTCAAACAGGAAGGAGTGTGTGACGTTGGTCTTGCCATACACGCTAAGAACTTTGTTGTCAGATGTTTGCCTGATTTCTTGCTTTGTGCAATTTCTTCATTTTTTTTTTAATTTCATAAATCAACATGAGAAAGAAAAGTAGTGAGAACAAGAGTAGAAGGGAAGAAAGATTATACGAAAGCATGAGAATGGAGCTCATATTTCAGCTCTGGCTTTACGGTAACGCTTAGGGAAGTTGTCAATTTGTACCATCATTAAGAACATGGAAGCAATTAAAGAAGCTAAGGTTGCCAAAGGAGTGACTGACCAAGCAAAGCTCTCAGACATTGACTTCGGAGACAGATTGGTTGAACATGTACACAAAATAATGTTGAAAAAGCTTGAATAAGAAACTGCCTGGGGTCCAGGAACCACATTGATTCCTATGGAGAAAATTGTTTCAACTTTTCAGTTCACGAACGGCCTTCCGGAATGAAATAGGTTCAAAAACCGAGGTTCCACTGTATATGAATATATTTCATGTATGTGACACTTCATGGATGTGTCAGCCTGTTTGACTTGGTCTGTTTCAATTAATATTCTTTGTTGAAACATTGGGACCAAGCTTAACTAAAATTGACCATTGATTTGCTCTATTTAAGTTTTATACAAAATAACAAATGTTTAATTTTGGTTGCAGGTACCATACTAAATTTAAATGTACAGTACACACAATATCATAAATAATATAATAAATAATATCAATCATAAAAAGAAAAGGAAAACAGACTGACACGACTGAGGGCAGAACTCACAGGTGTTGGAGTTTCTTCGTATTTCTTTGGCTCTGGAGGTGGTCGCTCCTTTCTGCTCTCCTTTCTAAAAATCACAAAAGCATACGGGTTCATTTAGTGGCTAAATTATTTTGAATCACATCAAAATTTTAGCCTTACATTTCTCAAACTGCAGATCAATTTAGATTAAATGCAGTTTTTCACATCACCTGTAACAGAAATTAAATTATCTTAAATTTTAATGTTTTAAACTTGATTGTTTTTCCAATTAACCATTGAGGGACAGACTAAATATTTCAACTATATGGTATAAAGAGGAGGATTCAGTGTAAGCACCAGTGAACAGCAGCGACAAGTCTCTAAAAATATTTTGAGTGACAGCGGCTTCCTACAGAGGCCCAGACAATTGTCCTCTTATCCTTCTGTGCAGTTTCTAGCCGTGACTTTGTGCAGCTGACCTGTCTGCCTCCCTTCTCTTGTCTCTGTTAGGCCCATCTCCACGACCTCGTCCTGCTCCTGGCCCTGAAGGCCCCCCTCTTGCCCGTTGAGGCCCTCGGTCCCGGCGTCCACCATCGGCCTTGTTCTCATCTTAAAGAGGAAGCCAGACAGTTAAATGAACACGAGTCAGTTGGACTATAAGAGGTGAGGACACTTAGCAGCACAATGCAGCAGCAAATGTCACCAAGCTGGATTTAGGATTTCGTTCAAGTCGATGGCAAAGCCGAGTACGCGTCGTTTACATGTAGTTCTAGACATTAGAGAAACAAGTTACATACAATCCAGTTGATGAAAGAACATTTTTGGTTGTTTCAGAGTCGATTTGTCATGATTCAAGTCAAGAATAAGACATTCAAGTCTAAAACAATCTGAAAAGTCAGTCCACTTAAACATAATTTGAATCTAAAATCTTGAATTAAGTGACTATGACTCCTACAGGCATTTAGTATTGCTTTATTATATAATGTTACATTACGATAAATGTGAGAAGAAATCCACATGAAGAATATTCAACGAGCTGCTGTAGTCAGAAGTGCTGTGTTAATCATAATCACATAAATACTCGACAGTCCATTACTGTTGTCTCCGATATATCTTGGGGACGTAAAAGACTGAAGCGAGAAAAAAGAAAAACACTGCCATTCTGAAACACAAGACACATTAAAAACAAAGAAAAACACCTCTACACTCCCACTCAGTAAATCCCACTCCTGTCACCTGCATGAGACCACAAGTTTGGTTCAATCTTTATTTTGGCATTACCGTAAACATTTGAGTGTAAAATTAAGAGGTAACATTTCACTGGGGAAAAGAAAAGAAGCAAGGACACTGTGTAGATTGTGGACAACAGTCCCAAATGCAATTTTATGAGCAGTCAAATATTTAAAAAGTTACACTTTCAGATACAGTCTGCAGGTGGCGGGTAGGCCAGCAATAAAAATGCAAATACACACGTATCGATTGGTCCATATGGTAAAACACTTGTTGAAAGTCATATCTTGAAAAATACTGGATTTTCATGAAAAACAAATCTTTCGTTTACCAGGAAAAATTCCTTCCCCTGCCCCACATATTAACCCCACCGCCCAATATCCAATCGCACAGTTGTGCCCCACCAAATTCCAAAAAAACCTGAACAATTATGCTTTAAAAATTAACTTTTACCATCAGCTATTAATTGGGATTAAATTTATTCATTAGGGTTATTTAGCATTGTGACCACACCACATATTGTTGGCTGCGGACTGGCACACTGACCAACCTACATAAGATTTTAATTAAAAAAAAAAAACGTGCAGGACTGATGAGAGCAGAGCACTCAAGGTCCTGAAGGTCAGACACAATCTGTCTTTAGAGGGTGTTCAAACCAGTGATCTCAGGTGACTCTGATAGTATCATGGAATATGGAAATGTCACAATTCATGTATCCATTATTTTTGGAGAGATATGCAAGTGTTTTTCTTTTTTGATAAATCTAATACATGTATTTAGGGTCTACAGTCGGGTTGTGGTAAGGGTGAATTCCTATTGTGCCATCAGTAGGTCTTACCCTTTCCAGAGCCTCTTTCATCTGTGGAACTTGAAGGACTGTAGGGAGAGAGAGGAAAAAAAAAATTAGAAAGAGACTTCTTTTTATACAAAATACCAAATAACCTCGTCGTTACAACATTCTCACCTTAGTTTCAGGGGAGCTGAACCACCTGGGCTAACAGGAGACACCGGTGGTCGCCCGTCACCGTCACTAGAATTTGAGTTGACTGCACTTCGCTTGGCCCAGGCGTTCTCCTTGGGAGGAGGTGCAGGCATCACCTTAAGTGGATCCTTGGAAGAGCTAGTAGAGGAAGGACGTGAGGATGACACAGGTGATGATGGCTCACCTTCCCTACCACTGAAAACCTCGTTCTCTCCTGAGCGTTCGCCATCTCGACACCGGGATGCTGAAGTGAGAGAATAAAAATGAATGTTTGTATATGTCTTTATGAACCAGGTCACTGAGGTAAACCAAATGGTTAAACCAAATAATGTGTGATTAATAGTGCAATGCAAATGATCCTTACCCCTACCAGATGAGCTTCCAGGCTGAGAAGACTCACTTCCTGTGCGAGATCGTTCAGTATAAGTTTCTTCATTACGCCAACTTGGGTCCCTGAAAAACAGAAAAATGATTTCTTAATTTCATATACAATAACTGTATTTCTGTAAAAAAAAAAAAAATCAACAGTCCAAATACAACAAAAATAAAATATTCATTGTGATCATGAAGAATCTGTGTAAGATAAAAGTCAGTTGATAAAGAGGAGAACCAACCAACTGGCCACAAAGCACAGGGAGCAGAAAAGGTGTGTGCTATGAATTCTGCCTTCACCCCACCGTTGGATGAACTATGGAACTTCACAATGTATGTTACTGAATATATAAAAATCTGCTTGGTCACTCAATGACCATTGTCATTTACTGACCTGTCTCGCATCTTTCTGTCAGGTGCCCGGGCTTTATCTTCTTCCAGTTGCTTCTGCAGTTTCTCCTCCTCCTTCTTTAGCCTCTCCTCCACCTCCCGTTCTCTGGCTGCAGTATCGACAGGCTTTGCCCCACCAAAGATGGATGAGGTCCTGCTGCCGGAGCTTGGAGCTGCAGCGGGGGAAGTACCTCCTCCACCACTGCCACTGCCACCTCCACTGCCACCACCACCACCGCCGCCGCCGCCAGCACCACTACCATCATCCTCCTTAGGCACAGAGCGAGGCTTGAGGTTCAACTTTGGTCTCTGTGTAGGACCTGCGGGGAATAGAAGGAAGGAAAATAAACAACTTAAGTCCTTACTTTTATTTTTAGTGAACAAAAACACTCAACTTTTACAATAGAAACCATATTCAGTATCATAATCCAATAATCTCACCTCTCTCCTCGCGCCTCTCATCCCGCCTTTCGTACCGGTCTTCGCGGTCACCATAACGATCCTTGTCGCCATAGCGATCGCCACTACCCCTACTGTCATCGTAATCACGACGGAAGCCAGAGCCAAAGGCACGACGACCTCCTCCACTACGAGAGTCATAGCCTAGGAACAGCAGGAACACAAAAGTTCAGAATCACCGGAAAATGAAACAAAGAAGAAAATCTGGCGTAACCCGGAACACAACTAAAGGTGTTGAACACACAAAACAAAAGATCGGTAGATGTTTGTAAATATGACAGAATAAAGCAAGATGATAAAGAAAGTGTTAACATTTTATTTTACAGATCTGACAACAGTAAAATAAATCTGAAAGTCATTTGAGAACAAGTCTGTCTGTGTAGGTTCTCAGTCATCCAGGTCATCTTATCCAAAACAGTTACATCGAGGGCAACTGGACTGAAGAAGCCTCTTGGATGACATGCGAAACGTCTTCAAGAAACCTACTCCGCCCAGTTGCCCTGAATGTAACTATTTTTGGAAAAGTCTTTGAGATGCATTTTTTTCCTGCTCGAGTGATGGCATCACTAAGGCCATAACATTCACCCACCTTTGTCATAGTCCCTACGGTCTCTGTCATAGTCTCTGCGATCCCGGTCATCATAACGTTCCCGATAGCGTTCTCGTCCACCCTCGTAACGATCGCCGTCTCGCCTCGCACCATCTCTGTAGCGGTCTGACTCATAACGATCCCGAGATCCTGGAACAATTAAAAGACAAAAACAGAGTGCTGAGTGACTGACACCTTGTAAATTAGATCAATGTAGGAACCAGAACTGTTGTTGTTGACAAGGAACAGTCAAGAAGGAACACTTACTCTCTCCAAAGGCATCATCTCTCTTGGGAGGTGCATCTTCACTGTCTCCACTTGGCCGAGCTCTCCAGTCACTGTCCGTCTTATCAGGACCCATGTCTGCCATCCGTCCACCCCTGTCTCTGCCTCCCATCATGCCACCGTCTCTCTCTGCAGGGTAATTTGGACCATGTCCATTACAAATTACACAAATAATCCAGCAATACAAGACTTTTTTTTTTCAATATTCTTACACTTAAACTGCTCCTGTTGCCAAATAAAGACACTGTTTTTTAACCCTCTAAGAACATTTAATATAAATAAACCCTAAGATGTGTCAAACACTTTGCTGAGATAAGGAAGAGCTCTACAATGGCAAATTTAGAACAACTCTTGGCAGTGATTGTACCTTTATCATTAGACTGGTCTGCAATGTCCACACGGATCCTTCGATTTCCAAGATTCTGTTAAAAAATGTAAAGGTAGGATGAGTACAGATGAAGTGTTTTCTTGAAGTTAATTTTTACTTTCATATTTTACCACAGTATGTTCCAAGCATAAAAAGTTGACCACCAAGATAAGAATTAAAAATAAACTTTGTTCTTTATTATCTCACCTCCTCGTTAAGACTCAGGGCCCTCAAGAGGGAATCCACATCGTCAAACTCAGCGTAGCCAAAGCCCTTCAGCCTCTCTGGGTTACTGGGCTCTCGAGGCAGACGCACTGCACTGATCTGAAGAGGAAGACGTTAACTGATTAACATGAGTCATAACGTGCAGCTCATTTAAAAACTTCACAAGATAAAAGTATGCAAAATGAGAAACATGGATTAGGATTCTGCTGGAGGTTAGGAATGAAAACTGATGTTTTTCTGTCTTTTTCATACAATTTTAATTAAAATTCTACATATTTAAAACCGGGAATATATGTTCCCTTTTTTTATGGGAGTCATTGAATAGACTTACTGCAAATTCTATTTAGATAAATGCATTTGTTAATTTGGCCTCAACAGACTAATCTAATTTGTCTTGACGAGGGAAGGTAACAAGCACAGGGGTCACCTTTGACCTGTGTTGTTGATTATATAAAGATAAATCAGAGTGAGTAATAACTAATAGTATTACACATTTTTTAGAATTTACAATTACTACTCTGTGACAATATCCTATAACAACTGGTTTTACCTTATGTGCTGCTTTGCAAAAATAAATGTGTGGTGCAAACAGTCTGTGTAATAAACCTACTGCCAGGCCACGAAAGAATTCTTTGATTGATTCTTCAGTGACTTCATAGGGCAGGTTGCCCAGGAAGGCTGTGTATGGTGGGCTGCGAGGCAGCCGAGACCGATCAACGTTGGGCTCGCGTGCTGAGCGAGGGGCCGTTGGCAGGATGGATCGGTCAATGGGGGGCGCTCGGTAAGAATCCTCCTCCGTGTGCCATGAGGTTGAGACTGAAAATGCAGAGATGACAAAACATCAGAGAGCAAAAAACCTTGTATATATAATTTTTATATTATTAAAAACATGGGTCAAAAAATACTATTTAAACATCTGCAGTATTAACACATCTTTTATCAAAAGTCCTAATGTTTTTGCATTATCTCCATCTCCCTCAATTAACTACTCCCTACAGTGATCACCAGAGTGGATCATTTGCTATCTTGTGCTCTACATCGTCTCCATTACTGATACATTAACCATCATGTTTTCTTATCGCATCAATAAATCCTCTCTATAGTCTTCCTATTTGACACAATCGGTCTGGCTTCAGCTCCTCCCACATCCTGTGCATATCTACTGTCCAACTTCTGAGCCTCAGTTTTCCCCCACTATATTTTAATTTGTATTTATGTCCATACTGGTCATTGAAGAAAAAAAATCCACTTAAAAATACTGAACCCTGTCAGCTTTGCCTACTGTTGTTTACACAGTTTAAATGTCTCACAATCATACATCATGGCTCACTTCAGTCTTAAAACTCAATCTGGTACACATCAGCATTGACATGGACCTAAATATATATGTACAATATTGACTACTATTTCCTGTCCTGTATTCATTACAAAATGTTTACTTCACTCTATATGAAGATCTTTTTACTCTGGTGGAGCATTGTTGATAAAGTTATAAATATCAGAATGCCACTAAATAATTATAAAATGCCTAAGAGAACATTTTTGTGGGTATTTATATGTCAACAGATGTTGCTCAAGTCGGGTCCATGTCAGTTTTTACGGAAATGAGAACTTGATCTGCAGGTTATGCATTCTGAACGGCAGCCAGTTTCTGCTGCCATTCCAGCACCACAGTCACACTCTTGACACAACAAACACTTCACGGGATCCTCACCATCTCCATCCAGGTCATCGGTCTCATCGGCCCAGCTCGTAGACTTGGTTGGGTAACTGGGCGCAGCCCCACTGCCTCCACTGTCCTCTGCCAAGAAGTCAGTGAGAGTGAGAGTCTTCCCCTTCTTATTCTTCTTTTTAGCTGTAGGTTGACGACAACAACACATATTTAGTCATAGAGGACAGGTTAAGTGAAGCTGTATTATCAGAGACGTTTAACACATTTTAAACCACAGTAGGTGATACCACAGACGTGAGTACTCAAAACAAAAACCAGTTGAATGAAACTACTGCTTCATTGGATTGCATAAACTTGTTAATGTCAGAAAACTCTTACATTAAATAGATACCAGGACAAAATGCCATAAAAGTCAGGGGTTTAAAACAAGGACTAGTTATTTGTCTCCAAGGATGATGTCACATGACCACACCAGTTTTTAAGGTTTGGTAATGTAGTGTGACATGCTGTTCAGCTGGGCCAGATAAGGAGACTGTTTAGTACCAGTGATAACAAAAACACAGGAGTGGTCTGGTGGTGGTAACTGTCAGTGTCAATGTCAGGAGAAACACTTTTCTCCAAATATTAGCTTCAACACTGACACAACCGTGTATTTCCAGATCAATAACTATGACATTTGTATAAAATGACGATCACCTATTGATTGTTCAGTGGAATAAAATAAGCCTGAATGGAAAAACGTGGACAGATTGTCCTGTGTGCACACAGTTAATACAGGAGCTAGTGTTTGTTTTTGGTCTAAGCGAGTGTTGGGAGGGAACAACAAAGAAGGCTGTGGGCCATAGTATAAAAATCCAACTGTCAGGACATTCTTTAAGCACAACCTTACAAATATATACACACACAAAATCGCGTAACACTCGTAAACAACCGCCCCATCCTCTCAGCCCTCTGTACGTAAAGCAAAGTCATGTCACACAAGAAGCAAAACAACCCAAGAGCAAGCAGAAATTGAAATATGTGCTGAGAAGTTTGGTTTTTTTGACTCCCTGTATTACTGGCAATTAAAGTCCAGTAAAGTCAAACTACCCCGTTGCCATCTACTTCTGTATCAGCAAACTAATCAAATTTAAGACATTAGGTGAACAAATATGATGGCAGTTATGGAAATAACAAGCATGAGTAGTGGGAGTTGTAAACATGGGACATTAGTCTCAACTACTTCAATAGAAAATATCTCATACAGGAACCAAATCAGAAAGCATATCAAGATCAACCATCAATGTGAGCATCTGTTTTATACTCAATGCTAACTGTTTATAGTCCAACAAAAGTAAAGAAAATCGCAATTCCCACATGCAAAATTAATCCCTGGATTTCTATAGGGTTGAAGGGGCAACTGAGCAAGTTCAACCAGGCCTTGAACACAGAAGCCAAAAAAACAAAAACAAAAAACCAACTGTGTATTTAGCTGTGTTATTTGACCAACAGTGTGGGGTTTGACTAGCAATTTAAATTTAAAGGTAAACAGAAATTTGAAAGCTAGACAGATACAAGTAATCCAAAAATAAATGACAATAAATGTCACAAATCCACAAGTATATTTCAAAAGGAGCATGTGAATCTTCAACTTCATTATATGAATCTAACAGGAGACAACGTTTTATGGTTTAGATTTACAGTATCAGGTTTAACGTGGAAATTAATGTGTAACCAAAATAAACAAATCTTTATCCATCATGGAACAATTAGTTCATTTCCTTCGAAATGTGTGTGTTTAGGTATATCGACAAGGCGTTTGTGCAAAATAGAATTAAAAACGTTGGGGGAAATATTTATTTATATTGCATTAGTCACTAATTTGCTGCAGATATGTTGCTGCGGGTATTTTTCAAACGATTAACAAAGGGCAAATAAGACACAAGGATATGTTGTATTTGTAAGTGTTAAATGACAAACATAGGTTGTTTACTCGATATTTACGCAGGACGCTTTTGTTTCGGTATAGTCAGCAAGAGTGCTGACGGAGGAAGTCTCCCTGCTTAGCTGACTAGGTTTTAGGGCCTAGTGCGCGACGCAGCGCCTAAATCCAAATGCGCCACCGCCGAAGTAGGACTTGGGTCAGCGAGACTGTAGAGTTGGGACTTAATACGCAGCTAAAGGGAAAGTTCACGATGCAACCCAAGAGGGAGCGTTGATACATTTTATCTAACGCCACCGACACCGGCGGCGGACGGCCAACCATGCAGACAGTCAGGCTGCACACGTGGGGAGAGACTGTTCGGGCTGGCCGGATCCTCATCTCAACCCCTCCTCCGCGCTTGCGCTCGGCGTCCCTGATCTGCTCTGAGCGCCACGGCGAGTTCCGCTACGGACATACAATGTGCCAGCTCTCCACGCACTTACAAATGTTTCATAACACGACACACACTATCATACATCGGCTTGTAACAGAACAGACCTAACAATGAAACGCATGCCCGCAGTTCAATAATGGCATATAAATGAAAAGTGAAGAGCAAAGTAGTGTGTAGTTAGGATTGTGCTGATAGCCTCGTTCATTCGCCTTTCTCCAGTGGCCACATATTTATCGTGTCGAGAACAATCAACAAACACGTGTAAACGCGCAGGACAACGACGCCGGTGAACACAACAAACCTTTACGAGTCCTATAGTAACTCCTTACAACAGTAGCAACGGTGAAACGACATAAATTTACCACCCAACCAAGCCAGCTCCTTCACCCACATAAACCTCACCTGACGCCGCCATGTTGGAGAGCGAGTGCGTATTAGTTCCCGGATGTAGGCGTCAGAGGTTTATCGTCGGGAGCGCGCATCGTGAACAGCCGGCCTGTCTGTCTGGTCTCCTCCCTTATTTACTGACCCACATCTGCTCAGCTCCTCGGGATCAACCGACGCAGATGATTTGAAAAATATCACCTTCCTGTTTATCTCTCTCTGTTTTCTATATTAAATTTGTTTTAAAAAGCCACATGCATTTCTGAAAATTGCCTGTCATCTTTAAAATGATACAAAAAGGAAAGGTTATTGTTTAGTGGCACGTTTACAATACTAACCCTCGGGTACAATGTTTTAATTACAAAAACAGTCCACTAGATGGCAGAAATGCAACTCAAACGATGCAGAACTAACCATAAATCACAAAGAAGAAGTGAAGCACCAGCGTTAGCATAATGGCCGAGCTTAGCCATACCGGGGAGGGGCTTTTGTAAAAAAACAAAAACAAAAAACTTCTTTTGTCACTGAATTAATTAATTCTAGTAATACGTGAGACACTAATGCAGAGTGACAGTGTTAAACCTGTTGGTCTATGTCTTTAGTGGGTGTTTTTGCTGAAATTTTACGATACACTGTAACTGTACACTATCAGATTTATGTAAGCAATAATGTACCAGGGTCAAATTAACTACTAATACTACATCTTTAACAATTTCTACTTTAAAGTTGTGTAATGACACACATATATAACTAAATATTTGAAATGTAACATGTTATAATACACTATTCTTAAAGCTTTAATTATCATCCTGTTTTAGTAGACTTGTGAAGCTTAAACTGGGGAAAAGAACAACTTGGGGAGGATTTGCTATTCATGCTGTATACCTCAATTATTTTTTATAGTATTAATTTATTCCTATTGTCTGTGTACAACAGTTATGCAGTTGTGCAAAGTTAATTCAATGTTTAATTCATTTGAATACTGGATTTTATTTCTCAAAAATAATTATTATGTTGGGTCTATATGTAGAGTATGTTTTTGATTCTTAGCAAATTCCAATGTATTTCTAGGGTGCAGATTCTTCCTTATAGCTGTAGAAGATCTGAAAATAAAACACATCACATCCACAAACACTCACACTATGCAACAAAGAATGAGAGTCAGAAATGTATGCCGACAATAGGTTTTAACAACTTTTATTTGCTACCCAGTTGTAAGGGATTTTTCTTTCTTTTTGTGGAGAACAGTCTGGGTAGACACTATCAGGTCTTGGTTGGCTTCAGTTGATTGGACCAGTGCATTCAACACCGTTGAAGTTCTGTTCAATTTAGCTTGATGCCAGCTCCTCCAGTGCATCCTGGAGTCTGTTCAAAACACAAAAGAAAATCAATGAATTATCCACGTTGAAACTGCAGACAAACACTGTCTTTTAAGATGTCAAATACATTGTATTTGCAAATCATGATAAAAAACTACTAATGTTATTCACCTCCACCATTACCACCACGTTTTTATAAATCTTACTTGAAGTCTCCACCATCTAACAGAGTCTTGTAAGTGGCAATCTCTGCCTCCAGTTTCATCTTCATGTTTAGGAGTGCCTCATATTCCTGGGTCTGTTGCTGGATGTTAGCCCGCAAGTTGGTCAGCTCCTCCTCCAGGCGCATAATCACGTTATTGTACTTCTCCATCTCCATGTTGTTTCGTAGCTCTGTGTTGCGTAGTGTGTCCTCCAATGAGGCTTTCTGAAATGACATATGAAAATCGTGAATTAATTTCTTATGGGTGATGACCAATAGTTGAAGTATTACAAAGAAGGGAGGTAAAACTGTTGTTCAGTGAATGCTTACTAAGCTCTGTTGAGACGCGAGTTCAATTTCTAGTGTCTGTATCTGTCTGGATAAGTCACCCTTCTCCATCTGGGCGCCCTGAAGAGCTTCTGTGTTCTGAGATACCTGCACCTGCACATCTGCAATCTGTAAGAGAGATTGAAAAACATGACATATTCAGGCCAAAAGATGATCTTTTTATGATGACTTTTTAAGCACTGAATTACCTGGTTCTCATGCCAACGTTTGAGGTCTTCTGCATTCTTCCCAGCAATCTTCTCATAGTTGGCTCTCATGTCCTCCATGATCTGGGCCAGGTCCTGTCCTTTAGGTGCATCTACATCCACTTGTACACCTGAATGACTGATCTGACTCCTCAGCTCCATCACCTCCTACAGGGCAAAGAGATAATAGCAGAAAATAGTGAAAATCTTAGAATTTAAGATTGTCTCTCTCCTTGATGATCTATTGTACATGAGAGGCTGCGATGTTGACGCACATTTTCATGGTTCTTCTTAAGGAAGGCAAGCTCTTCCTTCACAGCTTCGATCTCACTCTCAATGTTCATTCTGCTCATGTTGGTGTCATCAATGACTTTCTTCAGGCCAGCAATGTCTGCCTCCACCGATTGACGGATCGCCATCTCATTGTCGAACCTGTAGATATGCACAGATCTTGATGAGATAAAACTCGTCTTTTTTTCTTTTGTGTGACATTTTTTTATTATATATAATGTTTAACATTCCTATCATATTTCTAAAAAAAAACATTTTATAACCACTGTGATACCGTCTGAGTAGAATGAGTTCTAGAACCACATATGGTTTTATCCATTTTGATGATAAGGTCTATAGAAGTATATTACACGACATGAAATTTATATAAAAAATCACTTACTTCACTTTAAAGTCGTCGGCTGCAAGTCGGGCGTTGTCAATCTGGAGCACATAACGAGCATTTTCCACTATGTTATCAAAGATCTGGAAAGACCAAACATTAGGACAAAATTACATATTTTTATCTTCTAAAAGTGACTGTTAAAATAAAAACAAAAAACAATCTTGTTTATTTCCATGTTGCTTATTAGACACCATGGATGAGCCACAGTCCTTTAATTCAATGGTCAACTCATGATATGTTATGGTTTCAGACAATTGTGAAGTCGAACATGTGATTTCCATCAGCCTTTTTGTTATATAACAGTAGTAACCCAGGATACAGGGCCTCAGCACGACTGAGTTCAAAGTATGCAAGTTAAAAAAAAAAAAAAAGGATCCACAAACTGAAAAAAGGAAGACAGAGAGTTCCAGTGCCAAAGCTCAATCTGGTATCCTTTATCGTCGTGGAAAAAGTGTTTCCTGTCTGAATAAACCACCCAGACATTTTTTCTTCTCTCCACTTTTTACACTCACTGCCTGTCATTGTGTGTCCGTCCGTGTGTTTGGTCCAGCCGCCCAAAAATTCTTTTACTGTGAGGCTAATTGTGCATTAATGAATTTTCGCGACATCCCCTCACAGAGAATAGGGAAATAATAGTTCTCTTCATGTGTCACTACGAACAAATCGCGACCATCAATGTGTCATCATGGGAGTGAAGACGACGGGGCAGCTGAAGAAGAATGTGACATTTGACTCCACTAACTGGAGCTGATTGTTATACAACCAGTTGACTCACACGTGCACGCACACACACACACTCCTACTGGAGGGTCGGGATTCTTTGTCTCTAAGTGTGTATAGATACTTGTGTATGTGCGTGTGCGTGTGAGAATGTGTGGTTACCACACATCTGTTTCACATCAGATCCGGCCTCCACCACAACACGCTTTGAGAATCAGCTTTTACCACTTTGTCCAGCGTTAGCATCTTTATAGCATTTCAGTCTGTGCCTCGTGATTTGGATGGAACCATGGTGGTGATTCATCAGAGGAAGTTCTGGCCAGTTTGTGGCACAAATGAGTTTTTGCATGGGGGAGGTGGTGGGGGATGGTTTCAACTTCACTACCACACCCTTCATTCTCTTGTTAGACATTTGATATGCTACAAAGGAAATACACTACTTCCATTTTTGGTGGAAATTCAATCCTGGTCCTCAAACTGGTGAATACACACAGACAGATATAGAAAAAAGTTCGATACTATTTTCTTTTATCGTCTATTAAGTAATGTCTGAGATGATGGGGGTGATCACATGATCTTTTTAATACTTGGATTTCATCTTTAGCTGCAACAGACTAACTTTATCTTCTTTTTATTCAATGTTTGTCGTTCATTAATTCCCATGCTCACCTGTTTGCGCAGGTCCTCGATGACTGGCTCATACTTGCTGTAGTCTCTCATGTCAGGACCACCCTTCTCCAGAGATTCCCTAATCTTTATTTCCAACTCTTTGTTGGACTGCTCCAGGACCCTCACCGTCTCCATGTAGTTGGCCAAGCGGTCGTTGAGGTTTTGCAGGGCTCCCTTCTCATTGCCCAGGATCCCAGCACCACCACCACCACCACTGGATTTCACGGATGCACCAGCAGCACCGAACCCTGCACCCATACCTCCACCCATTCCACTGCTCACCCTGTAGGCAGTTGAAGATGTCATTGGGGCAGCAGAGCGAAGGGAAGACCTGGAGGCAGAGGAGATGCGGGCTCCATATCCACCAGCGCCACCGTGAATGCTGGCACTGTACTGTGGTGTTGAGCGGCTCATGAAGGAGTAGGAACCTCTTTGGCTCATGTTGGAGAAGTATCGGCTGGTCAGAGAACAATGGGAAAAAATGGGATGTTGAAGCTCGATGCTGGCCGGTTAGAAAGTGACGCTGGCAGCAGGAAGTGGGGAACTTATACTCCTGCTTCTCCCTCAATCACAGCTGCTCTCTCAGACCCTGCCCACTTCAGCATCGCCCCACTCTTCCTCCCCCTGCCTATTCTCAAGAGCTCTCATTCACTCGTGTTCCCCTTTTTGCTTACTTTTCTGTCTCCTAGACAGTACAGTGTATTTATCTGTTGAGTTTGGGTAAACACTGAAATCAGTCATTTACCAAACCAGAGCAGACTTAAAATGAGTAACTCTGTCGGGGCACAAGAACCTCAGAGCAAATGAAAAAGAAGACAGTGAATAAAAAGTGAGACAAAAGTTGTTTTTTGAGTACAAAAAACGCACTTCAGCAAATGTTAAACCTAGAAAGTTAACAGTAGAGGAGTTATTTGCCAAGTGAGGCTATGTTTTTCAGCATGCAATAAAATTCCTTTGGTTTGCCCATAAAAGGCTGAGTGTCTGGTTATAGCATAGTTTCTAAGATTGTGGTCAGCCAAGCTCCAAAACAAACACATTTTTCCTTTCCTTGTATTTGGATTAAACCGAGGGCAGGATACAAGACAAGATGCAGGACGCTGGCAGCTGAAGCTAAAATACAGTGCAAAAACGCATTTTATTTTTTCCGTTTATCAGAGATACAATGATCTTTTGGTGTTTGCACTGTAAAAAAATTATCAGAGATACAATGATCTTTTGGTGCAATCGAACCACATAAACACTATTTACAAAAAAACTGTTGTCTTCAAAAGAAACCCAACTACACCCAAGCCTTAAATGCACCCAAAGGGGTCACTGTTAACTGATAGGGCAAAGAGCACAATCAGACAGAAAGAATAGCTGCCCTCATTCATCAGTGGTGCCGAAGATAAGATTAGCCACCTGGGCTAGAACATCAGTTCTATGGAATTCTTTAACAATTGACTTGTATGTCTCTAGAGCAAAGCTGTATGGTTTGATATTTCAGCATCAAGAAAGTTTTTTTTTCTGCCCTCATTTGAATCCAATGAAAAATGAACAAAAACAAACAAACAAACAAATAAAAACGGTTAAGGTTATTTACTAAAATAAACATGATTCAAAGAAACCAACTTTAGTTGGATACCTGTGGACATATATATATATTTGCAGTTTTAAAACATGCAGTGCTTTGACCCTTAAACTCTTAAGGTGAAGTTGAAGCTGTGCCTGGAGAGGATTTTCCCACTGACTCCAAGAG